TCTTTCCTGCGTCACGTCTCCCCACGGCCAACTCTTCCTCTCTTCACGTCTCCCCACGGCCAAATCTTCCCGCGTCACGTCTCCCCCACGGCCAACTCTTCCTGCGTCACGTCTCCCCCACGGCCAAATCTTCCCGCGTCACGTCTCCCCCACGGCCGTTTTCCCGCGGGTCGTTTCCAGCCCTATACCTAACCACGCTACAACATTCGGGGCCGTAAAGTCCGTCTATTGTCAGAAAAATCCATCCTGGGTTCGTGACGGCACTCCCAAAAGCCTCATAACCATTGATCACACACACACACACACACACACACACACACACACACACACACACACACCTATTCACCCTGAAACACACCAGCTATCGCGTCTAACTAAGCTTCTGGCACCTACCTAAGACAACTTTACCTAATCAAAACATCAGTTATGGTAATTAAGCTAAATTCTTTCCGACTCCTAAATGATGACCCCCCACAATTTTAATTCATTATTAGAAACAAACAATAATACCTTGAACTAGTAATCCAATACCAGGTCTATAATGGTGCAATTGGCCTGAAGAGTTCCTATATGCACAGGGTCCAAATTACTCCATCTAACATCTGGGAAAACACACAACACGCACCATAATGAATTTAGTGAGATAACAAGGTCACCCGCCAGATGCCACAGCGGTGTTTTGTCCCGTTGGTTCCTGTAGAATTCACACCTCTGAGACGCGAGAAGTGAGGTCTGGTGCGTCTTTAACCTAGTGTAGTGTGTTAGAGGTATTGAACGGCATGACTAGTGAGTGTCGCTTATGTTGTATACGGGGACAAGTGTGCTAATGTTGCAAGGATTTATGTTCTGTTGCAGTAGTGACTTAGTTTACTGTTGCTTGAAACAGTTACTAATCATCCCCTTTCCAGTACAGATGACACACGAGACTGCTGCCACAATCATATTTTTGACGACTTCGAAAACACATTGGTACCGAAAACTAACTGCACAAGTCACAGTCGATGTAGTTATTTGAAACAACAACAACTTGCTGACTTGGATATCAACGTAATCCTATTTGTATGCTGTAAGGGAAACACTGTCAGCATCATCATCAGTATGGAGGCCAACAAAAAGTGAGGTAAGGGCCAATCAGGCAGAGTGGATCCTGAACAACGAGATGGTTAGCCCGGGGGTGAGTGTTTCTCCAGCGCCCGTCACCACTCGGCTCAACTCATTTGTTTGTAAACAACATCCGCGCCACAACAACTTTTTCCCCTTCTCTTGTACGGGAGCTCATTTCCAAGATTCCATTCGGGATTCTGATTCAATAGTAATAATTCGTCCCGTGGTCTAAAGTTACATTTGAAACCCTATGGCTTGAGTTAGCCAAGTTATTTACACATAGTATCAACAAATTTCGATTATCAAGTTAGTCAAAATTATCAACATGGTGTAAACAGATTCACTAAAGTACGAACTGCACGTGACTCAAAGATATAAGAATACACTCAAGCGGCAGAGTTAAAGCACTTGAGTGTAACACCCAAAAATAACATCACCACTATACATTAACTTGTTTCTGCTTCATAACTGTTTCCTAACTAGTATAAAATGAACTTAACCAGGTAAGGTGGACTCTGAAGGGGAATGTCTGTGTTTTAGCTGAAGTGAGTAGATCATAGAGTACTCAATTACAAGGAGTATTTACCATAACTATCCTCCACACTACGTAACCAAGAGTGTGAAAATAAATCCTCATAAAACCACACTAAAACCAACCATGCCTTGACGCGTGATTTATAGGTCTTGGGCATCACTGTTCAGGAATAGTTTGGTGAATTACAAGCGTTTTCTACCAACAGCTGTGTTTAGGGGGTCCGCGAGGGGCAGGACACGTGGGGTCCGCGAGGGCAGGAGGGGCAAGACACCCCATCTCTAGCGTAAAACGATTTAAATGGAGTTGATTACGCGGTTTTCTGCAGCAGATGGAGACTCGTGCGTACATTTTTCACAGTAAAGCCTCCTAAGCACGATCATAAATACTGTATGCTTAGTGCTTAGGAAAATGATGATGATGATGATGATGATGATGATGATGATGATGATGATGATGATGATGATGATAATAATAATAATAACAATGTGATGATGATGGTGATAATGATGATGATACAAGCCCTTTATCTGGTTATGGTGGGGGGTGAGGCAGCAGGTGGTTGGTCAGTCACCCCCTCCCGTAGGCAGGATGTTGGTTGACTGGTTACTTGAGGCACCAACACCCGACACTGTACTTATTTACTGGCGAGTCCACTTGGATCTCTATTAAGGCTTGGGGTCGAATCTATGACCATTATCCATGACCATTTGCTTACGATGGATGGATGTATGTATGTGTGTGTGTGTGTGTGTGTGTGTGTGTGTGTGTGTGTGTGTGTGTGTGTGTGTGCTTGCACGTGTATCCCTTCTCCATTTCGTAAACACGGTGGTGGTGGTCCCTTTCCTAGCGTACCAGCATATTGTTAACCCAGATAAGGCAGCCGAGTGATCTATGAGCATCTGTTTACCTCATTATCTCACCAAAAACAGCCATGGTGACAGACAAGTCAGACCCAAGAGTCGCGATTCTCTGATTAAATATTATCATCACATATACAAAACGACACCACCAGACACATATTTATAATAGTGGCGCCGCATCCACTCGACTATTACACTCTGAGACTCCTTAACGATGTGATAAGAATGGCTTAACAAACAAACCAGCACGCTCATCACAACACTTGTCGTACACACACACACACACACACACACACACACACACACACACACACACACACACACACACACACACACACACACGCATCCAGCCCATACGTGCACGAACTGCTCCTTACACTGTCACTATGTTGAAATGAACTGTAGTTTGAGCTGATCCCCATCTAAGTTATTATATGTCTTATTTGTGTCACTTATGTTACTTGTATATTATTTGTAATTCGTAACCCATTCCCCAAATATGTAACTGTAAATTTTCAGCCTTCTGGCTGCCAAGCTCTTTCAATAAACCGTTAATTATTATTATTATTATTATTACACACACACACAAACGTACAACACACAAACGTACAACACACAAACGTACAACACACAAACGTACACCACACATGCACACACACACACAAACCTAACAAACACACATCACACTCTCTCTCTCTCTCAACTCTACGATTACACACACCCAAGTTTCAAAAACTAGGCTCACCTTACAAGGTAGCGCTTTAAATATGCTCTTGTTTATACATTCCAAATGTTTTTATATAATCTGATCTTGTCAAATATATAGGCAAATGACCAAGGGATTTTTGCTATTGAAGAAAAGTAATCTTCGTTCTTATCCGCAGAGGCATAAGCAATGTTGCCATGTTTATTTCAGAGACCGCGAGAATAAACACTTTTGGCAGGTTATTTTCGCTTGGAAATGAATTACTCTTCATAAATATAATGTTTATATAGTGGGTATTTATATGAATTCCAAATAAACAATTAAATCTAACCAAACATTTAGTTCAATTTCGTTATATTATTAAACTCGTTTTGGATTCTTGTACTTATATATTTCAGATGAAAGACAAATCTACAGTAACTGTGCTCGTTACATTTTATTGACATTAATTATTCTGATCTAATGAGTTGGGAAGAAAAATTAAGCGCAGTTTGTGTCAGGGTAAAAATCAAGACAGTTTTGTTGGTGTTTCAATACGATATTTAATTACACTTTCACTTAGGACTAATTGGGGGCGAAAAGCGGGAAGCTGCCATGATGATAGTATTATTAGTAGTATTATTATTTATTTTTTTTATTATTATAATTAATTACTTCCGGTAGTTGTGTTATTAACAGTGGTGATGTTGTTACAACCATTTTGGAAAATGTCATTGTCAATATCATCATTATTATTAATTTATTATCATAAATATTGTCCCACTACATAATATAATAAAACAAATGTATGCATAAATCAATGGATAACGCCACCCACATTTCAAGGCAAACTAACATACTGTACACTAACTTAACATAGCTTCATCCTAACTGAACCTAGCCTAACCTAAACTTAGCGAAGGTCGGACGAAAAGTTGTCTCAGTCAGTCATGTCAACTAACATCACAACCCACGCTCCCAACCACAACCACCACCAGCACACCCCCATGGTTATATCACAAATACCACCGCAACAACTATTCACTACCACAACTACCACCACCCATACGCACCAAGCCTTACTAATATAAACACCAGAATACTCATAACACCACGATAACAATAACACAACACTCTACCTTACAGCACGCACGTCCTATCACCACTACTACCACAATGCCAACCACAACAACACGCCCTCTCACAATCCCAACCACACGCCCTACCACAATCCCAACCACACCACACACCCTACCACAACAACCACCACTACTACTACCACACGCCACACAGTCCCAGGGAAGCTCTCATAACAAGGGTAATAAGACATATCCCACGGGGCGGAATATGAGAAAATGGTCATAAAATTGGTGAGGAGCGACACATAGACGACGTTAAAGGGAGACCAATCGAGGCAGGGGGGGCCGCTCTGTGAAGGACCCGTCTCACGCTTGCTGCACACTTTCCAAAATAATCCATTATAATTTCCCGTGCAACATAACAACATTAACGACAATATCTCTCCTGGATCAATAGTTTGGGTTATAATTTTTCGTTCTATTATTAATTAGAAAAAGATTAATAATTGGACTAAATGTTTGGGGATAATTGGCCTGTGGAGAATGTTTTGGGAGGGCAGCAGGTCCAGACGTCTTTTCCCTCCCCGCCAAAGACCATCTCCCGCGTCTATGCAACATGGCACAGTAGGCGCTATAAACCTAGAATGTCCCAGCATCCGCACCCGCCCACCCAGGATCTATACCGAGAGAAGAGGCGGTCGTCTTCAGAAGGGGTAACTCAACTATCCAGTACTCACTATTAACACTGTCGGACTCCATGGTGAGGTGTGGTGGTCCCTATCCCTGAGATAGGACTGGGTGTACCGGGGAACCTTTAGCCGGTACTCTCTCACTCACACACACCTCACTGACTGCTGAATAATACCAGACTACAGCCGATGGCAACTCCTCTCACTACCATCTTGCTTTTTTCAGTTGATACGGATTATTGTCGCACTGAAATCCTCAATACCATTCATTACTTCATCATTTATCGAATTATTTTTCCATTAACTAACTGATATTTTCTTATAGCTATCGGCTGAGTCATTCTTTACCACTCTAGGAAACGTGATGTGGCTGGCGTAATAAATGATAGGGAGAGAAAACTTTTACCACGAACGTTACACAGCGAGAAATCCACCGAAGGGTGGAGACCGCCAGCAGTTGGTGGAGCCTGTGAGAGTAGTGAGCCTTATGTGTGGGTGCTGGAAGGGTCAAGGCCGCCACCCCTCACCGCCGAGTTCCCCCCGACCAACACTAGGCTTTACGGTGCCCGCCAGTAAGGTGGCGGGGAAACAGCGCACCGGTCAATACACACTTGGAATACTCCCGGTTTTTAGCAACCTCAGGTACAAGGTAAAAATATAAATTCCTTCATATGCCACCGCTTATAATTATTCCAAAATACTAGTAACCTTCTTGGTATTAATATTAGAAAGAATTAGAAATTGTTTCATGTTCGAGCTCTGATATAACTACAATCAGAAGCTCTTCTAGCAGCCACGTGAAGCGCAGAATAGTCGTTCGGATCAGGAGACATTTTCCTGGGAATACACAAGTTGCGCCATAGAGTAAAGTTTGGACGACCACAAAGTGTTTCTGAATGGTCTGAAATGTTGCAGGTCCAAGATCTACTTTATTTTACCGACCCCTCATCCGCTACCAGATTCCCACTTTCTTTCGCGTCCCGCTGGGAACCGTTTTCTATGATGCGAGTCTCACATATTCTAATAAATCTTTCTCCATTAATATTCATAACAATGTTTCATAGCTACGTAAACGTGTTGCTTGTTAGATGGGTATTTCAAACTCTTATTATGAAAGAACAAAGACCAATTCATACAACAGTAAGTTTGTTTACACTAAAAAAAATATTTATTTTAATCTTTATAAAGCAAATTGGACTTATACAACCTCACCCGACCTTTCACCTCTCTCTCCATCCCCTCCAGACGATGCATAACGACCTGCACCTCTCACAGCCTCAGTTAGAACTCGTTCACTCAGCAGAAAACTCCACTACCTCTCACCTACCACCGCCATCACACTCCCGAGCGCTGGCAACCCTGTACTGGGATTCTCAAAAGTTCGTACACTAAATTTCATCTCCAACCGGAATTAAGGGAACGCGTGTACTTGCGGCAATCTCACTGCAATTTTGGGCGTTGCGGTATCTTTATGTCGTAGCTTAGCGAATCAATTATTTGCATACTCATAATTTAAAGCACGAACCTGTAAAAATCACCGGAAAGTTAGGAGCAATATTATACCTTTACCAAGAGTAATATTTATAATACGAATCTTTGTAAATACTAATCGTGCAAGAGGGATATTACCACCACCTTCCAGGAAAAAGAAATACTCCTCATCTCCCCGCGTGTTGTGAGGAGAAAAGAGGGAGGGAGGGGGGGGGTCACAGGGTACGTTCGGTGGGATTACTTGCTTGCTCTATGTCGAGTATAATGGTATTTATAAAACGCTTTCCAGAACTGATTTAGAATAGTGCACCCGTGTGTGTGTGTGTCATGGAATTCAAATCTTACCTTCTATTTTGTCATGTCATTTAAACCTAGAGTGCTTATCATGTCATTTTAACCTGGCCCATAACTTTGTACGTTCTACGGTCATGTCTCGAACTTTTCCTGTCATATTTTCGTTCTCACTTCCCCCATCATTTCTCTCGTTCTCACTTCAATCTATCATGTCTCTCGTTCTCACTTCCCCAATCACGTCTCTCGTTCTCACTTCACCCTATCATGTCTTTTCGCCCTCACTCCCCTCTATCGTGTCTCGTTCTCACTTCATTATGTCTTTTCGCCCTCACTTCCGTCATGTCTTTTCGTTCTCACTTCATCTTATCATGTTTTCGTCCCCCTTTGTCCTCTATCATGTCATTCGTGATCGTAATACTCATCCTCACACATTCGTCCGACTTCTTGGTTTAATTAAGGATGGGACATGCAGAGAGGTGGCGAGTATCTCCAGAAATGGTCTTTGTGTGGTAATGTGGTGTGTACGTGTGGCTGCTGGTGGTGGTAATTGTTGTTGGGTGATGATCAAAATACACCATGGTTCCTACAGAGGTCTAACTGGTGTCTCTATGTAGGTTTAACCGTCCCTACGTATCCTGTCCTTTTTTCTTAGTATTTGCCATTAACTGTGACGTAATATTGTTTCTACTAATTCTCCCTTGTATGTGTACTGTATGTGGTCTGAGATGTACACAACTCCATTACTCGGTACAACGTGTGAAAATCGTAATAAATCCTTTGTGTTCTCAGCCAGTGATCTATGTACGAAAAAAATGTAGCTACTGGGGTTTAATTTTGACCGATACAGTGTAGTATGAGTGTTTGGGACCAGGTATGACTGAACCACTATTGATCAAACACAAAACGAACCAAATAAACTCGAGCATCCGAAAAAAATATGACTTATTACTCAGAATCAAATCCGCGTCAACACATCAGGCCCTTGAGACATCATTGCCGAGATATCTAACTTCCAGAACACTAATCAAACTTCAAATACGAATTTTAAACAAGATGACAATGAATAATAATCAAAGAAATTCAACAGCCACTGACACATCTCCACACTTCAGTACACTCGGACAGTAATTTACCTTACCTCTCCAGGCATATGGCTGCAGCGATCACTCAAAACGAACCATCTCCAACTCTTGATCGTTCCATTAAGGCAGAGTAAAACAGCTCCCCGGGAATATCTGGAGGAGGAAAACTTGAATAATTGTGTGTATGGGAATCATGAAAATAAGAGATGGTTAATATTAAAGACTGCCCCGTCGCAGAGTTATTTGTTTCAATGGCTCTTTTATTACTATATATTTTCCACTACCTACCCCCAACCACATTACATTAAGCTAAATGAAGACTACCATAAAACCGCAGTTAAGTGAATCCAAGGACAATTTACTCAATTTATAGTTAGTCAAGAGACTGTATATAGCAACTAGAACTACTGAAGTTAGTTACCATATATACCTGTTAGATAATTAATTTCTCAAGTAGCCTCTCATCACCGTAGGCTATGAACAAAGATAACAGTCTAAATAATATTGAAACAGTATATTTAGCAAGAAAAACACAGATACAGAGTGGACAATAAGAACAATATTGACATGGCTAAAAGCCAGTGAGAAACCAGTATCTTCCCAACTTTGACAGATGTCTATTAAAACCCAACTGATTATACTTCTGGTTAGAAATGATTCAAAATATTGGACTTGCTATTCTAGTTGTGAAATGCAGACACACACCTAATGATGTAACTTGCTACAGCTTTCCAAGATTTCACTGGACTGCCAACTGTTTACGAAGAACACATATACATTCATCAGTGTTCAACTTTTCCGCGATGCATTAGTCAAAACTTGAGAAGATAATTGTTACTCAGACTGCACAAGATAGCCCTCTCCTCGTACAGTACAACCCCCAGTGACACGGGATATTTTGTTTGATATTCAATGAATCTCCTCAGTTTTATTTCCTGATGTTTTAAGGCGATCTTCACCTGTTTATTTAATAAATATAATACAAATCTGGCAGAAAAACGAGTGAAAAACACTAATGACCGCACACAAGAACCAACTGAACCAAACACACTGAGACGCCTTGACAGACTTTTACAACGAGACGACTGGTTTGTTGACGTCGTCGTATATGGTGGAACGTACAAGGTCATTGTTACACGTCAAGACCCAAAGACGATCTCATCGGCAGTGTTTATTGCGATTTATATTGGATTTTTTTTTTCAACAGATGTTGTTTGGATGATGGCAATTGAAACGACAGTGCACAGGTTAGGAAGTTTGGTGGTGTTTGGTAAGGTTAGGTCAGGTTCTAATAGATTCTGTGCATTTTTGCTTACATTTTCGTGTTTAGCATCATGGAAATAGTAATTCCAGAAAATTTGGTTCAATTTCATAAGTTTTTTCTGGTGCTAACTGTCTCCTCCACCATTACCTATTGTCATCACAAACTTTGGATTTTCCAAGTTTCATTTTGGGTAAACATCGTACAACTCTCTTGTAATATGGCAAAACGGACCAACCAGCCCTAACATAAGTATGTTCAAATATAGCTTAGTTATACTGGGCAAATTTGGATGATTCGTTTTGCCTGTTTCAAGAAGAGTACAAGACACTGCACTGGCCATTATGGAAGTGACCAAACTGCCCTGCACAAATAGTCAAATACGCCCACTAATTATCAAAGCATTGGACACTAACATAACCTTCAAAATTTCACATTACCTTGTGGAAAACTGCAGTTATTGCAACAGTTGAGGTTCACTCAAAGAAACAATTCCCTCCACGCCATATGAGTTGTTTACGTTCGTCACCACGACCCCAGGCAGCAGGCGGCCGATGTGACGCCAGTCGCTAAACAGTTCGAGTTCGATAGTTCGAGGTGAAGGCAGCCTGAACCACTCCAGCAAATGATACCTCTGCATTATTTCAAATATTAGCAGATACAAATTTCGTCTTTTAGTTGTCCTCCCTGAGGTTTTTAAATGAATGGCCACGATTATATAAAAAAATTATGTGACTAAGGGTAATTAAAATTCGCACGTCTGTTCATAAAGGAACACCAAAACCAGCCAGAATTGTCCAAAATAAGTATTCTAAAATTAAATTCGTCGCTGATATTTAATGTAATTGGCCTCCATGGACAATTACGACAAATGATGAGTCTTGAATATTAGTAATAATAGTACATCTAGTAGTATCTTTGGGATTAGTTTATTGATAATAACTATACCAATCTATAATTTGTAAAACAGTAAATAGTATATTATTTTATGTCAATATCGTGTTGTAAATGTCATATAGCACTATGTCATTCACTGCATTAAGAAAAATCTACTAAGGGAGAAGGAGTCTTTTATGCTATTTCAAATAATATTAAGAGCGACTCTACCACTATCCTCAAGGTATTCAGGAGCAATTAAAGGTAGGAATGTATTGTTAAAAACAAATACACATTAAAGTTTTAAAGGCATTTTGATTACTAGAAATATAATTTACCACTTCGATAATTATAATAAGTTATTTAATAAACATATGTTCTTGGTAAATTTATTACTAACATATAAAAATTTTACGTATTGAGGATCATGAAATTTAGGGGTGTGGGGTGGAGAGTCTCTCGTTTCATGAGCTTTAAAGGTTTGTTTACATACAGTGTGTCTCTCGGCGTCCTCCACTCTATTTACGTTCATGCTGTGAACTAAGAGAAAATAGTTTACCCAGCTACAATGTCGAGCAGCAACAAGAGAATCCTCTACGTCGGTATGTTATATATCATTTAATATTGATACTGATTTATCGTAAGTTTTAAGTATACCGGCATACAGTATTGTCATGCGACGTTGGGTTTATTTATGGACAAACACTTATAAGAACATGATGCGACATATATTTATTTAACTCCTGGGTCATTTTTCGTTATCCACCCATCACCTTTTTCACATGAAAAATAAATTTTTTTCGCTAGTGTTCTTTACCAAATGTAACCTGAATAATTTGTGTTGGAATAGGAAATGCTATACTGTACAAGAAAGGTTTTTTAGAATTGTCTAAACTACAGATCCCAATAGTTAAATTCCTACGATTCCTGGATGACTGAAACTAAAATAATATCTAAATTTCAAGTGAACATTCTATTTGAAAAATACAATTGATATAATCTACCTACATTTATTGAATGTTTATTGAGGATTTACTTCAATGGAAAACTTTTGTCAGGCAGCTGCTACGGCCAAACCTTTCTCGTCAAGTATTACCCTTTGTTTGCAAGCTAATTCACAGAATATAAGTGTTACGTAAAGTACAATATGAAGAAAACGAGTGAAATTATAAAAATTGTCTCATTAAATTTCCATATGAAGCATTTTGGTCTTGATAAGGCAGTCATAATTAATAAATATGTTCTTTTACAGTTAGCTTGTGCAGCTAGTGTTTTCTTCTGTAGGTCAGGAATTAGAAAAACCCAACTAGCTATTGTATTGTTACATATTTTTTAATAACTATAAGAATATAAAGCTACTGGGGATTTTGTAATAATTGTCATACTGTATAATTGTAGTACATGTACAGTATCCAGGCACAGCATAATTTACTGAATATTTTTAATTATTTTAATGGTCATTAATAATAATTACTAGAATTTTTAAATTGTGAACCCAGATCCTTAATAAGCATGTAAAGTAGTACTTTTGTATGAAATTTGAAAATACCACTGGTTTAAAACACATTGCATCAGCCAACCCTATAGTGTTGTACAGTATATGTTTGTAAGATATTTTATTCTCTTTTCCAGGTGGGTTAGCCGATGAAGTGACAGAGGATGTGTTGCGATCTGCCTTCATCCCATTTGGTGATGTTGTTGACATACAAATTCCTCTCGACTATGAGACAGAGAAACACAGAGGCTTTGCCTTTATTGAGTTTGAGTTGCCGGAAGATGCAATAGCTGCAATTGATAATATGGTAAGATATAACCATCTTACTGGTAATTATTATTCATCATTAATTGACTACAACATTCTTTGAAACTAAACTGGGTAAGGAAGGAGAATTATTTTTCCCAAGTTTTACATACCTGTAGTATCACAACTAATTTTTCACACTGTTCTGTGTTTTGCAGAATGAAAGTGAACTGTTTGGTCGGACAATTCGTGTAAATCTAGCAAAACCACAAAAAGCTAAGGAGGGCTCATCACGTGCTGTGTGGGCCGATGATGAATGGTTGAATAAGTATGCTGGGGCAACGTTAGATGCTGAAGGTGGAGAAGGGGAAGAAGGAACATCAGAGGGTACTCAGCAGTCAACTGAAACTGTTAAGCGGCCAGCAGAAGAAACAGTAAGTATTATGTACATGGTTTGATGATAGGGTTAGTCACTAGGTAGTCACTTGCCTTCTTAGTCCAACATGACAGTTCTGAGGGCATCAACATTTGGACATTGGTAATTTTTGGCTTATTTTGAGGAAATAAAAAAAAATTCCATCTATAAATATTTTTTTTTTTTTTACTGTAAATTAGTTGATTGATCAGTTCAGACAACTAGCCAGCTGTCAGCTTTGTACATTTGATATTATTATTGTCCAGTACAGTGGAGTCGTAATAATCTGCGGATTAGGTACCAGAAGACTTTGTGAATTATCAAATCACAAGTTATTGTTTAATTGATTTACTTTAATTGGAAAAAATTAGTTGGGGTCCTGAGGCCCAAAAATATCCATAAACATCAAGACAAGCAGCTGTGGCCACGCTATGTAAACAAATCACCAGGAATTTATTCCACTGAATAACTCACTTGGGGGTTGAGTGTTGGATTTTTTTATTTGTTTTTATTTGTTACTTTACTATACAGTAATGTTTTATTGACTCGGTAGCAAATGAATCTAAATAAAGTACATGTTCTATGGGAATTATGGTGAAATTGCCAAATGTTGTATGAATGAGGTCACAGGGTACAGTCATGGACTGCTCCCTGTGGTGAAAATGATTCACGAGGATGAGTCTCCGAACTCACTCACCCTGACCGTCATCTGGTGCGGGTGCGTTGTTTTATCTCATTTGGGGTCGATGCTGCTTCATTTTGGGAGGGAGTGAACTTTTGACCCCAACTGTACATTTAATCTTCATTTGATACATCCAGTAGTAGTGGCTTTCTTGTTTTTATATACTATAGATGCAAACATTCTTATGGGTAAGGTAATTAAAACACTCATATATTTCTTTATTCTGTGATATTTGTGAACAAGGCACAAAAATACTAATAAAGCTACACTTAGCAGGAAGAAGAACCAAAGACAAAGAAGAAGAAGACAAATCCCCAAGTTTACTTTGATATAAAAATTGGAAAGAGCCTTATTGGAAGAATATCGATGCAGCTGAGGGCAGATGTAGTTCCTAAAACTGCTGAGGTGAGATAGGACTTGTTGCGTTACATACAGGAACAACTTATCAATAAAAATGAATGAAAGGGAATGGAAGATGATGTTGGTATTGTATGTTGAGAGTTAGAATACAGTACAGGCAGTGAAGATGAGAACAGTGGACAGTGTGAGACAGGTCCCAGGTCTATATAATAAAGAATGGATAAGACATTTAGACAAGTGAAAAGAGGGAGTTGAAGACTGAAGTAAGTCTTGTTCAGATGAGATGGATGTCAATATGCAGGAGTACAGTACAGTATATAGATTTGTACCTGTACAAGGATAGTGTGTAGGTAAGATGGATATTAGTAAGGCTAGTGTATAGATAGTGAGGAAGTGTGTGAGTTTGATGGGTGTCAGGATAGAAGAGTGGTTGATTATATAAGGATAGAGTGAGGAAGTGGTAAGATGGGTGTCAGTATGGAGGAGGGAGCACCATAGTGAGAAGTGATGTATAAACATAAAGGTATCATTCCTGTTTTAAGATTAATGCTACACAAAATGAATAAACTAAAATTCAAAAGAAAATTATTTGATCTTCTTAATATCATAAAGAATTTTGCATATATTTGCTTGTGAAAATTCCCTTTGTTAGCTTTGACAAGAAATAAAAGTTTTAATGTAAATTTGCCCTTGAGAAGTAGCTATCCCCTGGGCAAGTGGGTTTTTTGTGGTTTTCCATCCTAGAACAAGTTTAATTTTTGTGGCTATTAAACTCCAGCATATCTTATCTAGTGATTGCCAGTGAACACTCATCATATGTATATTTTCACAGAATTTCCGCTGTCTGTGTACCCACGAGAAGGGCTACGGCTACCAAGGCTCTACTTTTCATCGTATTATTCCTGGTTTTATGTGCCAGGGAGGAGACTTTACAAATCATAATGGAACAGGTGGACGCTCTATTTACGGTACAAAGTTTGAAGATGAAAACTTCAAGTTAAGGCACACAGGTAAATTATGAAATAACTAAGATTAGTCTTTATAAATAATTTGTTGACTTGTGTTACAACATTTGTGCAGCTGATCACATCATGACAAGACAAACATGGATCAAGCTGTTGGTTTTTTCTACTCATTAAATCTTTTAAGGAAATCATTTGGTTTCAATTAGCCAACCCTGATGACTACTATTATACAGTATTTATCAAATGAATATATTTTTCCTGTCCGTTTAACTAAATTCCGTTGGCCGAGGCTTCGGTAAAAGAAGCATAGTAATACTGTACAAAGATTGTTGTAATTATTTTATGTATCTCCGTGTCCAAAAATACTTCAAAGGCAAAATCAGCAAGGCAAGTACCACAGAGGATTTGGAGAGGCTGGAAAGAATGAAGGCCATGACTTGCCAGCTGTGTTGTAAATTATGAGACAAATGGGACAATTTATAATGACACTTGAATAATGAAATAAATACAAATAGGTTTTAGAGATGGAGATTGAGCTAATATTTTAGAAATTATCATTTTGTTTAGGAACAATTTGAATGAGCCCAGATTAAAATTGAGCAAATTGGCTGGCATCTGGCTCACGATACAGACCTGATTTACCACTACAGTATATGGTACAGTACCTAGTATACATGTATTTTGATGTTTGCTTTCAGGTCCAGGAATACTGTCAATGGCTAATTCAGGTCCCAACAGTAATGGATCTCAGTTCTTCCTAACCACCGAGCGTACAGAGTGGCTAGACAATAAGCACGTTGTGTTTGGACAGGTCGTCTCTGGTTTAGACGTAATAAGGAAGATGGAGGTAAGACTTTAGCATTTCTTCCATATATTTATTAATACTATTATTAAATAGGAAATTGACAGTAGAACATCAAAAGAAACATACTGTAGTGGCATCATACACACTAATTTGGGTATGAGATCAGTCACCACCAAATCCAGTTTTTCAACTGCTTTCACCCCTTTACTTTGTGTTCAGTAAATGGAATTCCAGAAGATATAACTGCCACAATATACTGTACTGTGATGTCTTTAATGAAGTTGATCCATGAACCACATTAATCCAAGTGCTCTAATGTAAAACACGTACACTAAATATCTGAGATATTATTGCTAATGATTCTTTGTTTAATTTTCAGAAATGCGGAACAAAAGCTGGAAAACCATCGGATAAGGTTGTCATATCTAATTGTGGTGAACTTGTTTAGTACCCTGCACTATATTTAATATCAACGGTAAAAGACCCCATATATTAATTTTGTCTTCCAAATCAAATTTAATAAATATTTGCTAAATTATAATTGGTCTTATTTTCAGTGTTTTGGACAATATTGCATGAAATCGTCTGGAAAAATGCACTCACCAGGTACATGGTTTTGTATTATTTAATTATTTTATTTACCATTTAGTTCCAGATGATGTCTCAACAATGCCCCAACTCATTTACTTCAAATTTGACACACATGCATTAGCTTGGTGCTATTTGATGTCAAGATTTTAGGTAATGTTACCCCCTCCCAATGGCTGTTTAGAGATTTATACAGTATTTATTTTATTGGGGGTCAACGTATCTGAATGATATTTCAACAGTGGCTCAGCTGATCACTTAATCATTCGAAGTACCATACACATACTGTACATTGATATGTAGTTATTTGCCCTATTATGTTCAGGTGCTGACATTTCCTAGATTATTATTTTGGACTACTTTTCTGTTTTAAGCTTTTGTTCTTTTGGTCATCTTCAGATGTTATCTTAAAGTCTAAACAGATTGCCTCAACTTTGAATCACATTGAATTACATTGTGTGTTGTGTTGTTATTTTGAAATGCACATACATGGGATCCTTGATAATTCAGTAATCCACCTGTGAACTGAGCCAGTCTCAAAATACAATGTTCTCAAAATTCTAATACTGGGGGTGTAATTCAGTCTTTACATTGATATTTTTTCTCTCTCTCTTTTAAGCATTTCATACTGGCTTCTAGTAAAAGACCAATGCCCAGTGATGAGCGTAGTAATGCTAGAGACAAAATGCAAGTGTCTCACATTAAAAGCACCAGCACACTTTACTACCTGTACTCCAGTATAAATAGCAAAAGATTACAAAACTCTATCTAATTCTTCATCTTAACTGCACTGAGTTATCAAGGTTCCTCTGTATGTTGTTGTTATAAGGTGTATCTTTTATGTGGGGTAAAAGTTTGCCCTTGATAGCTATAATGAAAATTAATATAACCGGGTAATATTTTAACTTTACCATAGCATATTGTGATGACAATTGTTTATGGGTCATGTTTCCCGTTTGTTACTTCTTTCGGGATAATTTTCATCAGTGTCTACCAGTTTGCTTCAGATTCGTATCACTGATGCCATGTTATTATGTAGTAATGATGTTGTATTGTTTTGAGGTGATGTTTCTCCTGGTGGCCATTAGGGAGTTAATATTTGCATCTGTAAACAATCATTTCTGGTCATAATTTTGACAAAATCTTGCTAAATTTAGAGTAATTTTGTACCCTGGTGGCCGGTTTATGAGCAAATTTCCAGACAATTCATCATTTCCTCAACAAATTTGAAAACACATACCTTGTTTGTGTGGCTTTAGTGACTTGACTTGTCATTTCATATCTTTAATGTTGATCTCCAGATGGTTCACAGAATTTTCTATATTGTAGAGAAAAGATAACATGACACTGTTGTCCTGGGAGAACTTAAAAATTTGCATGATCCTAATTTTTGGTAATGCATTACAATTCACTTTAAGTCTATGTAGAGCTTCATTGTACTCCCTGAATCCTACTTAAAGTTGCCCCTTGCTATTTATTTTTTGCTTTACATGAAATTTAGATCTTCTCTGCACTTTATAATTCACATAAAATGGGTATTATTAGTTTTACAATTCACATAAAACAGGTCTTGGTTGGGGTTTGCAATTCACCTGAAATGATTTTCATGGCAAAAATTTACAAAGTACAATACCACTTTCATTTGGGCGAATCTTCAAATTGCTTGAATTTAATATCATCTTTGTGGTTGCCTTTGATCTGCTATCATCTTGGTTATCAAGATGGAAAAATGCACAGTTGAAGCTTTGAAGCTTCCTAAGATGTTGTGAAATTTGCATTTTCAGAACATTTAAAACTTAGGCTGACCTGCTGTGAATGCAGAAAGTGTTTGGTAAAAGGGGCAGATAATGCTGTTAAATTTCAGTTATACCTGTCTTCTTGACTCAGATTTACCCTTCTGTAATGGTCATACAGTTATATGCTTATATTATATATATAGCAGGGGGGCTCCTCGTTATCCGCTGTTAATTGGGACCGGAAAAACGCCACTGATAAATCAGCTTAAAGCAGGAAATTAATCCCAAAAGAAATAATGGAAATAGGTCAAATTGGGACCTTGACATTGTACACGACAAAAAAAAAAAAAAAAATTATGACATCTTTTAACAATTATTTACCTTGGAAATATTTGTACACACTTGGGTTTGGCTACAAAAATGGTAAAATAATTCACCACAAAATGCACTGGTCTGGACGAAATAAAGCGGAAAACTGGCACGGGGACATGTGCGTGTGTGCATGATGCCGGCAAGAGGATGAAATTTCAAACACTTAAGCGAAATTTTTTTTATTTTTATCTGGAGTTTTTGAATAGAATCCACTAAAATGCATGGATTTTTTATGTGGATAGTCATAAAAAGTTGACCAACTAACTGCGAAACTGTGGATAGTAAATGCTCTTATAACGAGGACCCCGTTTTTTATTTATATATACAGTATATATATAAAGCATCCCCAGTATGAGGAAGAATTACATGTACCGATTCTATATCATATAACCACCTATTGTATGTGATATTCCTCCTGTACCATTAGAATTGTGATGCTTTCTGACACAAAAATGTCTGCCTTTTGGGTAGTTGTACATCCTGATTCTAACTCCACATGAGTTTCAGTAAACTTGTATCTGCTTCACATAGGATGATATCCTGTAGAACTAATGCAGCTGTATTGGAGTACTGTAGTATATGAACATTCTGACCTTGACAGCAAAAGGGAGTCACAGCAACCTTGTGTCCATAAAACATTTAATATCCCCTTTACACCATTTTACTTGGGATGACAACTACCAGAGTAGATGTGCATTATGACCCAACATCTACTTTGACCTTAAAATGAGGTCATGCCACCAGACTTTCAAAATAAGTTTGGAGCTACAGTATTGCCACATAACCCAGTGTAAGCTACCTATGATGATATATTTGAGCTATAAGGCACCAATCATAACACAGATGTGCACCATCACCTTGAAATCATGGAAATCAGTGACCTCATTTTCACAATGTTGTACACAGTATTCCTCTCACATCTGTTGACTTGGCATAAAGCTTAACTAGGGGTAAATATGTATCCTTACCTTAACCTCAGAAAGATTAGTCCACCTCTGCCTCTTAATAAGGTTGCAGCTACCTCACTTGTACTAAGATTGTATGCACTACTTGGAATGCTATCTTCTGACAATAAAGCACCTACCATGGAGTACAGGACCTTAGTTCTTCAAAAATCTAAACTATACCTGTTGTTCATCCTGTACTCTTTGACTTAGAAAGTGGCCCCTGGATACAGTAACACCAACAATGGGGAAGATGTTCAACTGAAAACTGAATCTTGACTTCAATTGAGGTTGAATTAGCTTAATTTTGTAAAAATCTTGCATGAGCTACCATACATCTTCCACTCATATTGACTTGGGATTATATCCTTTTATCACAGAGGCATCTGTTTAAGGATGGCTGTGCATCTTGACTTTGAAGGTAGACCTGACTGTTTTTTTCACCTTGTATATCACTAAAAGACTAGCCTTCCCAATGGAATGAGTGGAGACTTAAAAAGTTTTGTAATGCAAATATGAGACCTAATCATAGAAAGATAACGTAAGACTGTGCGTTTTAAAATGTTAGTTAAAAGAAAAGAATATTATGAGTGTTTTTTAATACGAGTTTTAACCCTTTCCCCGCGTGTCACGCACTTGCCATTTTATTCAGCTTAGGTAACCTCCCGCTGTGAAAGGGTTTAAACCTATCTCGATTTACCCTTTCACCGGTGTCATGCACTTGTCATTTTATTCGGGCTACCGCCAGACGATTTTATTCAGCTTAGGGTAACCTCACAAAGAACTTTGGAGAGAAGAAATGCAAGCAAAATGGTTTGCCTGTGTTGAAGTAAAATAACTGACTGTAAACTAAACAGTATCCAGTAGTAAACTTAAATAGCACATCAAGTTCAAGGCTACTGCATTGTGGTGAATGAAGTACAGGTATTCCCCAATTTACAATAGAGTTGCATTCCTGAAATCCCTAATGTAAATCATGAGCCTTTTAACATGGGTTTCAATAAGATATGTTCCTAGCCTGTCCAACACAGACATGTAACACAAAAAATTATTCTATACTAATTAAATAAATACAAACAAAAATTAAACACTCACCACAATAATAACAAGCCTGGTCATCATCACATGCCCCCTCTGAGGCTACAGGAACTCATGTTGATGAAGCGGTGACATCAATCTGACTCCAGGAGAATCAGCAAGACGCTTGCTTGTCATTTTCAAAGTTATGCAGTTACGATGATCACTTCACAGTCACCAAAGCAGAACAAAATCTAAACGATAATATTTTCCTCTCGCCAATAATGGCAAAATATCACAACGATCACACAACAATTAATAATGATAACATTTGTTACACGATGAAAGGCAGATACAATCGTGTTGACAACACATGGTGGCTGTAAGGCGGTGCACGGATAGGTGAAGCTGTGCAGAGGATGTTAAAGTATACTCCTGACTTATGACCGCCGCAGTCATATAAAATATTTTTCAAATTACGCATTTTTGAGTCCCGACGTTAGTGATCGCTCTGTGTACCGACAAAAAAAAAAATTTTATTCCCTTTAAAATGGCTGGCAAGCGTAAAAGTGAGAGTTCTCGTGTTGCTGAGAAGAAAAAGAGACACCCATTTTAGATTTTCTATGTATTATTTTTGCATTTTCGACTTACGACCTGGTCGTCGGTCCCTAACCTCGTCATAAGTCGAGGACTGACTAATTTCTGCTCATATTGGCAATCTTGAATTTGACAAGTGAAGGGAAAGATGCGCTTCCCCAGTGTATACATCCCGTGTCAGCAAGTTTAGCTTAACGATAACTATAGTACTGTATTAACTTGGGTTTCGCCTAACGTAAATCGCAAGAGGGGGTTAAAACCTAATTAACATTAACGTGAATTATCGTAAAATGGATGATAAATTGTGGGATACCTGTCCTGGAAAAAAGTTTTCATGCACACACTGTAGAACAGTACGTGACTCGCCAAGACATTCTGTTGTTGTAGTTCTACACTCGCATCAGGTGAGTGTAGAACTACATGGCTGTGTGAAGTCACACCATAACTGGCTGCATCTACCTGAAGTGTAGGCCACATTAAATAGAATTTCTCAAATAACTCCACGGGCCACACAAACACGTGCTCCGGGCCACGGGTTGCCCATGCCTGCCTTAAGGGATATAGAACGAAAATGGAAGTACCAACTCACAATTTGTAGGTTAACCAAACTAACTTTTAACTTTTAAAATAGTATTACTCTCTTTACATATGTACAAATATGTAACATGATTCTCTACATGACATTTTTAAAATTATTTACACCAAACCTTTGAGGAAAACCAATCTGACCAAAGGATGAATCATGCACAGAAACCATAATATACAAACAACAGAATAATTGTAATTTACTTGTGCCCAGTCATACTGGGAATTTACTCTGTACATAACTAAATATGAAATAATACACCAATAATAAATTATTTTTGATAATATACAAGGCCACACTCAATCTCTACTTTCACAGGAATTCTTGATGTCAACAATGTACCTCAATATGCAAGACACATTTCTGACACAAATGTAATGGCAATCAGCTTGTGTCATATGGGAAAATAATGTACACAAACCCACCGAGCTTTCAGCTACATGTACAAGACAATCCTGGTTATCATGTCTTCAAAAATCCTTCCTGTCTGGAGATTCCATTATACCACACAATACAGTACAATATTTCAATTGTGAATGAATTTTTTTTTTATGTTTTCAGTATTATAGATGAAGTACTCTTGAACCTGGAGAGAGAAGGCATCAACAGACACCCTAAAAGCTCTAAAACTTTACCAACATAAAAACTGTTAATCTTAATTATGACTAGAATTTTCAGTAGTACAGTACATGAAAATGGAGATAAAAGGTAGTGAAGCCAATATCAGAAACTACCACAAACCTGCACTTTTGTTTTAAATAAAGAAATATGCCTGTATTTTTTTTTAATTTACAACTGACGTTACCATACTTTCTGCAAAACTTTAACAAAATGAGGATAATCAGTGGTATAAGTGGCATAGTTTCCTACCCAAGATATTTCCACGCATAAATTAACGAAGCTTCAATTAATACCAAGAACAGATAACTGGAAAAATAAATAAAATAAAAATGAAAACTGTTTAACAGCACACCATGGTAAAGGATGACATATACAGTAACAAAATATAACAATGCACAACAGATAAAAAGAATTAAATAAGAATGTTAGTACAGTACTATACAGTACAGTATATCTATGAGTATGATCTTTTAGTTTGTGGGTTTCAGTATATCATAAAATGAACCTTCCGAACCTAAGTATCAAATACCCTGGAGAATCAAGTACACTACATTTTCAACCCAACAATGTGAGTCAATCAGCCAAACTATCACAATGCACATCTTGCATACACCCTTGTTTGATTAAGCTGAAATTGTCTTATTTATCTTTCAACTGTTATGAATTTTATTTAATAAAAAGTTTATGCCCCATATTTTTAATAGGTCTAATTTCATCCCCAGACTTCATGATCAAGTCCTCACTTATTGCAAGGGTTCTGCTACTGAAAAATGCTATATACTGTAATGTGAAAAATTACAAAATGCAACCCATTTTCTTCACTGGAAAAAGTGTATTATGGAGATGTGTTCTTAGCTAGGCATTTTGGGGATACCTGTACTTGAGCTGACTTTTCATAAAAAACACAAATTTATAAAATAAAAAATCTAATACTGTACACTGTCAACAAAAACTTCAACAACTGTGAGAAGAGCAGAATGGAGTTTGTCATCTCTCAGAATGATTTCAGATTTTTCGTTCATTTTTCAGATTGCAGTGTTTATAGCGTTTGAGAAGTTTTTGGTGTGAGTGTACATACAAATATGTATGAAATGCAATATACAAATTCAAATGAGACGTGTGTGAGTGTGTTCATTCCCTCAGTCAAGTGACCACCCCACCACCACCACCATTTACACCCACTTTTACCACTATGATGACATTAAAACAATAAGCATGTAATATATGTAAGAAGACATAACAGTTGTGGTAATGAATATTTTATTGAGATGCATGTACCAGACTGCCATGCCACACACAGCAGTTAAAATGCATCTCTGCACATCTAGAAGGTTTTTGCTGTTTGGTGCTCAACTGAATATACTTGACATATATTGTTAAAAAAAAATTAATTACATTATTGCCATAAAAATAAATTGCAATAAATTGAAACTATGATAAACAAGGACTACCTAAGTGTGTGTAAGTGTGTCAACTACCTACATTTAAAAATAATTATAACAAAGAACAAAACCTAACCTATATGTGTACTTAATTCACTGAGAACTTGTTTGCTGAACTCCACCTGATATCTAGCAATACAGCCATAGACTTGTAGATGCTGTGGGTTGATTAAAAAATCTTCCTATTGGTAAAATTGTAAATACATCATCCAAGCAATCTTGATGACAATCATTTTCATTCATTTCTAATATAATGGACTCAAATTCACTGCCTGTTCTAATTCCCATTCAGTAGAGCTTCAGCCATAGGTTACTCTAATGGAGCATACTGATTGAATGATATTTCGCAATGTATTTTATTTTGTAATTGAGTAACGTACCAAATAGAAACAGAATAAAGCTACTGGATAGCCCCTGTTGATATGTGGTGACTCGAGTCTCATCACATAGAAGTAATGATTTAAAATAATTCTGAAACCATGTAAAATGCATTATAGGGATGGTAGTTCACTAAGCACATATGATGGATCAACATTACAATGTGGTAGATCAGGTGTTGATGGTCAAGAAGCAGGTATACTTTGGGAACATAAAAATAAAGGGGCTGCATTTCAGGCTCATACAATCTTGATTACAAAACTACCATTTACTTGATAACATCTCTTTCTTAGGTTTTGTTGAGAGCCATCTTCTGGCTGGCAAGTGATGGTGTAATACATGGTTCAGCAGGTATGTTGGGCTGCAATGTCACCACTACTGTACTTCACTTGACACGAGAAGTATTGATTTACTCCATTTTTGGTGTTTAGCGGAAGTTAACAAAATTAGTCTAGGTTCATACCATCAAGATTACAATACAGTACAGGGTACTATATTATGATTATGACTCATTCCAGGTACAAGGTATACCTGAATTATGCTCCTAATCATAATATACAACTTAGGATTATCTGTTTTTGACAGTGATTAATTTTGTGCTAAATTATCTTGTAAAAGCCATTTCGTGTTACCACTGAAATTACTTATTAACTCAAGAAGGCACACACCAAGTTGGTATTCCAATAGGTAATTATAGAGAATGATGTGAAATACTGCATAAGACAATGTCATAGTGTTTGCTTCCCTGTATATTTACTATTAGTGGGCTTCTCACACATCCATTTCACTTTATGAAAAGGTACTAGATTTAAATTATGGTGATGGTTCACATGTTTTAAAACCCAAAAGCTTAAGTGTGCAAGGAAACAGAGAGTGAGCAGTAGTAGTACACACAATACAGTAACACAAGGAAAGAATGTGCAAGAAGTGTCCCAAAAATATCCCAGAAATTAGTAATACTGCACTGTAATTCACAATTACAAATTATTTATATACCACTACTTAAATTTTTTATTTAAAAATAATAATTAAATAGAAATTTTAAGTTTCACCAACTGGTATGTAAGTTGCCCATCCTTAAAGAATATAAACTAGGGAGGTGTGTCTTTTCAGAATGACAATCAAAATTATGTATGAATAAACTAATACAATAGCTACATTGATGCCTCAGAGTACCAATACACACACAAGAAACTGAGCCAATTACAGTACTGTATATGCTTATATCTTCCTTTTTTCAGTAATTTTTAACTGATCTTTAATTAAAAAACCAAAATTATTTCTAAAAACATCCAAATTAGAAAACAAGTCTATATAGTATAGGTCTACCATATTTCAGAAGAAAAAATTTCTTTGGCATTTGTTGCCTTTTATGGTGAGGAGTGCAACCTAAGAGATACAGTATAAAGCAATGTATACACAATACCCTCTTAAGCCATGTAAAGAAAATATGGTTCTTAAGACACAGCTACGGCACCTGCTGCTGGATCAATTCTTTCACCTCAAAAATAATATTAAGTCCTTGTTTACCATCAATTTGAGTTTCCCAGACTTGATTTTTGACTGAATTTGGAGGAAAATTATTCTGTATAAAATGGTGGACATTAAAGCTATTATACTGAACATGGGAGGGAGGGGGGGGGGGGTTATATTTATTAATCACTATAATACGAAGGTGACAGTAACGCATTTATATTGTACGTATTCAAGTATGTAAATTCAAAAGCCTCCAAATGTTTTTAATCAGTTTGATGAGAAATAACCAATAGTATCCAAGAATAAAAATTAAAGGTTTATAATCTCAGCTTGTACAATAAAACAAAATTTAAAAATTCTGCACTGCTTCTTGAGAATGAATTACCCAAGAACCATATATTTTTTTTTACATGGCCTAATCATGGTACAGTTTCACCACGTTCCATTTCCTTACAACAAAAGACCATCTTGCCTTCTCACTTGTTACAACTTCAAGCATCTCACATTTATTTAAATTACAGTATTTCCTTGTTAAAGAGTCTCATGGTAAACTGCCGAGACCTCTTGGGATCTTTATATAACATTGCATCGATATTTATATATATATATATACTATATATATATATTTATATATATTTATATACTGTACATAAAAATTGACAAATTTGCTATCTACATAACAATAACCGTAGATGAAATTAAATTCACATCATGGACATAGCAATTCTGATGAGTGACCAGTCTATGAGCCCCTGTGGTTCAAGTGCCAGACTTGAACAAAATTATCTACAGGGAAATGGAATAGCATTACCATTTCAAGACGGCAGCAGAAATGTGCATACAGATGGTTAATGCGAGCAGTGACGGACCCTTTCACACCCCAGTGGACGCTAGAAACAGATTTTATAAGCAATTATTTAATTAATTAAACATCCTGACCACATAATTCTTGAAAAGGAAAACATTCACCATATTTTCTACTATACCTTAAAGAACTTTTCTATACTGGAGTTCCATTATGATTGTTGAAGGCTTGAAGAGTCCCCATCTGAGACACGGCAGACATTATGTGAGTGAGGTGAACTTCTATGTTGTTCTGAAAGGCCACCTTATTGGACTCATCTAAAGAGCTTCGTATTTCATTAAGTGTCTCCTGTAGTGATGTTAGTTCAAAGGCACTGACTTCTGTTTCTGCAAGATTCTAAAAAGAAGGTAAAAGCTGCATTAATATATTGTACAACACTATCTACATGTCTACTTTCTCATTGTATTTATTTTTTCATTACTCAAATACAGGGAAAATGTACTTCTTTTCATTTAAATCCTTTAAGAATGTTTCTACTGTGAAGTGGAGCAGCCATGGACTATCTCCCCCAGGCAAAATTGTACTCTGAAGCTACAAATTCTTTTACTCAGTTCTCTGGCTTACCTCGGTCTTCTAATAAACACACAAACACTTTATTTACACTACAAACATTTCACCCTTCACATCTGGATTTTATATGAATACTCCATCTTTCACTGCTATCTAACCTTCATCTGTAGCATGAGTGAAGTGAGCTTGGTGATGAGGTCAAGGATGGCTGGGCTAGACACCTGTGGAGACCCACTTGAATGGTTGGTTACATCCACGATGGTGGCCGCTTCCTCGTAGCACCGTTCTCGTATCTGACTGGGCAGTAAGGTAGGACCCGACTGTTCAGGAGAAATCTGCCAAAAATTATGAGAGAAATTAATCATCCTGGTTATCTATCTAAATGGCACTGAACATTTAACTAGAAAACACAAAAACAAACATTAACCCCAATGTGGTTTAGAGAGTAGATTAACGTCCACTAAGGTAAAGGTCACCCAGGTTTAGAACGTATATCTAAATCTCTGAAAATTTTAATATCCTCGCACATATTCACCACTTCAGACAGGCAAATGTCCACCTCACCCTTCCCTACAGTATATTTTTCCAGACTTAATTACACCCCTCTCCACTGGCCCTCCTTCCATTACCATTAGAACAGACACACACAAACTCTTACCTCTTGGCAGAACTGTTGGACTGCGAGGAGGTGTTGATTCAGGTCACGGTTTAGCTTCTCAATCTCTAGAACTAATCCTGCATATTTACGTTGAAACTCTACATTCAACTCTTGACCGTAGCTTCGTTGCTTCTCTGCTTGCCCGTTCATGTCACGTAAGGCGCCTATTTTTTCCCGTTTTGCTCTAAGTATTTTTGAAAGTTGTACCTAAAAACCAATAAAATAATGCATCACACAGAGTTACCATAAAACCCTGTAAAAAAAAGCAGAAACATTGTTATACCATCATAAGAATCAACAATAAACCCACTTTGGTAATGTCTTATTTACCCTCAAACACACAATATCCCTGCATTGAAAATCTGATCAGTAATCTGGCCAAAAGGAAACAGTCACAAAGGCTACTATGAGGAGACAGCATGGGGTGGGTTAGGTTCAGGGCACTGTATTGTACTCTGTTCCTTGTAGTGAAAATGGGTCCCTTATAATGGTGTAAAAAGCCCCAGTCTAGGAATGGATTGAAAGGGGAGGTATATGTAGATGTCGATGGTAAACAGGACTGGTACACTTCAACACTCCCATCTTCCTTTGCCACTAGTGTCTAATTTTTCATGTTTTACTTCAATACTAAAATCTCCTTATGAAAACATTCTGTCTTCAGGATATTGTTTCATCTGTGTCCTTTTGTCAATCACTTCAGGTGTAGTAGGAATAGGAAAAGATAAAAGGAGATACAGGTGAAGGAGGAGCACAAAGCATAAGAACCTTAAGACTTACAATTTGTACGAGACATTTCACTGGGAAACCCCCAAGGGTATCATCCAATGAGATCTTGGTTGTCTTCAGAGGAGACTGTGCCAAGATGGGGTCGTTGGTAAGTGAGAGTGCTGGACTGTCGCCTCCCATACAGCCTGGTTCCAGCTTGGGTAGCAGTGGTCGAGGAGGGGTGACCATGCCCAAGGGAGGGCGTGGACGGAACTTCTGGGAGAAACTTGATAGAGGCATGATTTCCGCCACTTCACTTGACTAGAAGCAAAGGTATTATGTCACTATCACGACCAATACACATTCGCAATCACGAATAATAAAAGCTATAGTACTGTATTTATTTTCTATTTCTAAAAAGGGTTCAATTTTTCCATACACTAAAAATTTTCTACCATGCAGTGTGACAAACTATGCAACACCTACTCAATACTTAATAATTTTCTTGTATTTTCTATCTACAGTAAATATAAGCCTATATAGAATTAAGATGATGCCAATAACTTTCCTTTCTATACCATAATACTTAAGTTAACACTACTATGATGAACCAAATGACTACCAACAATTTCACTGCTTTGGTTTTGCATCAACAATATTGCATGTTGTCTGATATAGCAGTACTGTATTGGGTAAACTTTTGGAAGCATTCTTGTGGATGAAATGAAATGCTGGCATAGAATATTGTTCAGGACATACAGTATCGTAATAATAATATAGCAAAAAACATATTTCTTCCCATTTTGGAGGGAAGGAGGTTCATGGGGTAAGACAGCATTCATCATCTATGGTAATATTTCCTCACATTGCAGGATAATGTGCACAATCGTTAACCAGTATTACTATTCAATTATCCTTCCACATTTACCTCCCTGATGTAATCAAATGCTCCACAAGCAAACATCAGTCAATGTGAACCCATTATGTAAACCAACCTGTCTTTGTTAACCGTCCAGGACACAGAGGAAGAGTAGCTTACCAAAACTTCATAATCAGGGATGGAGTGTGTACCAATGCCATGGCGGTCAAACGTTATCCTGTAAGTATTGTCTGAAGTGTCTACGGCATCAATTACACCAGTGTATAATCCATTCTCTGGTTTTCTTATTCGAGCAGTAACCTGAGGGAAAGAAAACATGCAGTCAGTTTAAGAGTTTTAAGTCTCTTTAAAAGTGACTTCCCCCTAACAACATGGACCAGCCTTAGTGTCATGCACCAGTTTACAACACCTTACCTTCCTAACTCTCTCTTACTCTATGATCAAATTTAAGTCTTCTGTGCTGTACATCCAGAATACAAGTACAGTATAGTACAAAAGCCATGATGTCTCCAAATGTTTCAGTAATGATTACATCTCGCCTTAATCAAAATGTCTCACTTTTCCCATTCAGGGCAGAAGTGAATGTTTTTCTTTCCATATAACTTATCCTAAAGCTCAAAATGCATAATGAAATAAATACCTGATTTAATACAGCCTCCCTGCTTATTCTCATTGTTTTTTTTCTTCTCAAGTTATCAGAAATTAGAAGATGTTTTCCTGCAATACTTACCTTAGTACCGATGACCAGTTGCATGGGGATCTGATCAGGCAGTGGGAAGTCCTTCAATGTAGAGATGTCTGTTATCTTTCTCTGTTGTAATAACCGCAACACATGACGCTTCTTGTCTAAGGACTGACACTCCTCTTGGAAAAATGCCTGTGAATAAATACCCTCGTAACACTACACACATACAGAAAATGTTCATGAGCAAATGTCAAATCCAAGTGACACATCTAGCCCTAAAAAAATAAAACAAGATTAATTGCCCCTGAATTGGTTTAAAATAAGACTCATCAGTGGTCCTAAATGGATTAACAAAAAGGGTGGGGGGGGGGGGTAAAACTGATCAAAATACTGAAAATATGTGTCTGTGCAAGCCCCCACAAAAAGGACACAGTGGACAAAAGCTGATTGCTAATCTGAGGTTAAGTTCTGTATTGCCCGACTGTATCAGCGAAACATAAACAAACCCACAATAATGACCCACCTATCTATCACAATGTATACACACAATCAATAAATAATACCATATAAAACATATATTTGCCAACTCAAGGCGATAATAAAGGTGTTCTAAATTAATACATCATGGGAAACAACAGTTAGTGTATCTTCTCTCAAAATTAAATGATAAAACTGACAAATACTACAATTAAAGATGCTAACGATAAATTATGTACCTGAGAACAACGTCTTGGTTTACCCATCATGCGGCGGATCATCCCCCACTGTCGCCGTGTCAGTTTACGAGTCCGAAGTTCTGGAAATGCTTCTTTTAATACTATCTGGAAGTCATTCTCTCCTCCAAATAATGGTCTGGAAAATAAAATAATACCCTTTACCATAAGAAATAAGTAGGGCAAGTGAGACAAATGACAATCTAGTACTGATAAATCATATGAGTTGGGCATGTTGATACTAATGCATATTCAATCTTGTGTCATTTCTGCAGTGCCTCTCCCCTGGTGATGTGGCTAGGACAGAGGAACCACCGGGACACACTAACACTACGCAACATATTTCTTTTCCTCCCTCACCTTCTGCCTCACTCTCCCACTCACTCACTCACTCACTCACTCAGTCATCATAGCCCAACCTTTATATCTTGTATCCCTCAACAGCAGAATAAAGAACTGCATACTATTTGAATCTATACAATATAATGTTCTTGAATCACTTTACTTACTTATCTATATTAGAGTAAAACCACTCGAAGTAAACCCATTTGTGAGCCTGAGGAAGTTTGAGAAAATTCCGAAGCCTAACACCATTCTGTTGAGCCACCTTCTTGTCCGGGGTTGTGATTGTCTGCGGCTCCTGCAGGAATGGAAAAATGTTTCTTAATACAGGGTGCAGTACATGTTGTTAATCCTTCTTATTGTACCATTTAATAAACCCTCGTTTATAGTTCGCCGTCTACTTCCAGAGCAAACACAAGTTATGTCGCAAACCACTTTTACCTTTACAAGAAAAAAATTAGTTAATTTGTTTTTCTATTACTACTGTATTACCAATAGAAACATGAGAGCCTGATCTATGACAGTTTCGTCAGTATGTGAGTATAAAAATAAATTCAGTCCATTAAAGTATTATAACAAAAGAATCCAAATCTTTATACACATGGCCCATGGTCAAAGTGATCAAGGTTGAGTTTACTGTGGCAACTGAAACTGACATTTCAGAGGCAGTGGAAGTTAAGGTAAAGGATTGGTTAGGTTAGTTTTACATAGGGTCAGATGTCCTCATTGAAGCCAAACCTTGTAAGTTAAGGCTAAGTTAATGGAATGTGGAAAGGGAGTCAGTAAAGAAGGAGGATATAGTAAAGTATCCCTTTGATAAGCTTTTGTTATGATTGTAACAGGAAAAGGCTTGTACAATTTAAAAAAAGGAAGCCTTTGAATTTCTTAGGTTTGGGAATACACTGTAGTCACAAAATAAGCTTCCACTCTACATAACAAAATAACCTTTAAAAAATAAGGTCTCCCCTTTTTATATCACAGCTGGAGTAAATGTTAGTCAAAATATAATACATTACACATATAAAACACTCTAGAAAGCACTAACTTGAAGTTATTAATGTCAATGACCTGAAGGAGAATGTAGCTGAAAAAATTTAAATTACTTTGACAATGGTGGGCACATGTAAATGGGGTCAAAGTAGATATAGGTGAAGGAGAATGGGAGGGAGAAAGACTAGGAAGGAGATGAAATGATGCACAAGAAGTGAAGGTTATGGACATCCAGGAAGCAGTAGCATGCATGAATAAGCACATAGTATGGTATCACGTGACTTGAAGACTCACGGATGAAGCCGACTCACACGAAACAACTGCAGTAAACCAACTTTAGGGACATTGTTGTGGGACAGTTACCACAACACAACACATCATTTACACGAGTATAAAAAATGACAGAAGCACAATAAATGAAGGACAGTGAGTGTACGTGTATTTGCTCATTTTTTGCCACACTGAATTAAGAGAGAAAAGACTCCAATTGAGCTTTTATTTTCCAACATGCACATAAGTTTTTTAACCAATTATGATGTACGATGGCCCATCAGTTTTAACCGATTAATTTTTAGCATTCAGTAGCTAGTGAGTTATCCCCCTCCCCCCTACAGGTTGCATATCATCTTTAAGATTGTTTCTACCATCGGTAATGTAAATTCACTCCTACAGTAAATTTCACTTGCGTACTTTTATGAAAGCAGAGTCACTTACATTATCTGTTCAAGAATAATTTTCACATTTCAATACTAAATCTTCATAAGCTTCCTTCACACAAGTTTTGCATTATTCTGACTCTGTACTTAATTATTCCTTTGCAATGTACTGTATGTAAATTAATCTGAAAACATGTTACTATTTCATTTAAAAGTAGAGAACACATTACAATATCATTTTAGAATAAACATCGTACATAATCCAACACGACAAAATGTTAGAATTATCATGGCCTTCCCACCAAGACTGTCACATCAAAGACAATCGAATACAGGGACATGTATGGACCAATCCTTGTTAACACAGTTTCCTTCTTTCCTCATAGTTTGTGGAGAACTTCTTGGACAGTTTTGAGCAGCCCTTAACCCTGTTACCCCACAAGTATCATGCACATCGTTAGGCAATGATCATAGTGCTTACCAAGTTTCAAATCATTCCAAAATTTAACCTCTAATTGCAAACACAGCTTTTTAGTAAATCACAACACCTTTTGGTTACAGTTGGCCAAAGGGTAAAAATCTATAGCAATTTCTAGGCAATCCATCCATACAACTTCAAATTTTAAACAAATGGAAATAAGCTAATTTTAAAGAATCAGTTGGGGTGAGGGGGGTACATGCATCACACTGCTAGCATTCACTCTTAACGGCAGATCCTGGACATCTTTCATTAATGCCAGGTCACAAAATGGCCAAGATATAAATATTTAAGGAGTCTTTAGAATTCCAAAATCTATAAAAGACAAACTCATGTCAATACAGAAATTTAAAAATAGATATTGGTATGAAGATCCATCCAACAAACTATCAAGACAGAATAATCCAAAACCAACATGATTATTACCGTGGTCAAGACAGGAGGGTACTGGATCCCACTGAGGCCGTCACCCTGTAAACAAAATGTAAGTATCTATTGCCAATTTTGAGTCCTTGTGAAAGAGATAATTTGAATGTATAAACTTAATAACAAAATTTAATTATCCCCTAAACCTCTGACTTATAATCTCCAGCTATCACTTAAAATCATCTACCACTACCATGGTTCGTACTCTTTCTCCTCTCTGATAAAACATTACCACAAGCTCCTACGTCCATTTAACCTCTAGATTCTTCATCGATGATCCATAATTTATCATTTAAACATTCACACTATTCACCAAATAATAATTAAAAAGTTTTACCAACAGAGCTTTAAATTTTTCACATACTACATCACGCTGCTTTGAGTATATTTCCAGATAAACAATTTAAACCACTTTCAATGTTGGTGTTTTCATAACTAAGTTTACTGAACCACGATTACAAGTGTTCTACCTCCTTTACCACAACCCAGGCCAACCACTTTATGCAACACAATAAATATATTTCCCCAAACCAACCACAGAGACAAAAAGAGTCAGTGCAGAATCACACACCCAAGAATCCTCCATTACAAAACAAATGGTGAATTACATAGAGATCTTTACGATTCATTCCTCATTGAAGAATAGATTTTGTTTTTATTTGTTTTCAAACAATGTCAGCCCACGCAACAAATTAAAAGTAGTTTTCCAAAGCCTATATCTAACTGCCAACATCAACCCTAACCAGCACAAGTTATGTTCGAAGGACACCAGGAACACTGACAGTAATACTGTAATGTCTGTATGAGTAACTTTCTTACAACATTATCCTAGATTATGAGAATATTTATCTAAGAGGCTCAGCTTAATTCATGACAGATAATAATTAATTTTAAAAAAGTGTTTTTTGGACATCTAGCCATCGTGTGACCTGCAAGACTGTGATGTCATCTGGTGACCCACAGCAGCTAATACAACAGACCTTTAATCTGGTCCTATTTGTATCATGGACTGAACTAACCCCCCCTCCTCCCCCAATCTTAGAACACGGTTTCATTGTAATGTTCACTGTTCTGGGGGAAACTGCTATTAAATAAATCTTTTCGATAATGGTAGAAGGGCTACAAGTGATATTGCAGTCAAAGAAAAACACAAGCACAGCAGATGTATTAGTGCAAGTCATAAGATGTGAGGAGGCAAGTGTGCGTCAGATTGATATTATTCTTAGCTTGGGTTTGGCTGTCAACCATTTGAACCAATCTCATGACTCTAGAGGAGAAGGGCTACTGCCCATTCCCTAAATTCCAAGATTTCTTCTTCTGAGTTCCATCCTAAAAGAGTTTGTTTTCTCTTTCTAAGCTTCAACAATGTCAGGTAAGGTTTTCTTCACTTGTAATTGGATTTCCTTATGTTTTGGTAGGAGATGGACTAACTTGGGTCTTCCTTCCAGTGCTTCCGGGGTTGTACTGTACGTACATACTTCCAGCTCATCAATATACGTAGTTTTATACTCCATATATGAGATGATCACTTCTAACATCAAGGTTCTTGTCATTAAGTGAGTGAAATGGAGAGGAAGACAGAGATGGAAGGACTATGCAATGAATCAGTGAGGTCTAGAGGCATTACCTTGAATAATGCATGAAGAATCATTATGGAACATACAAAAGTCATTTTTACATGATGGCGATAACATAGATAGACAAGATAATTCAACTTATATAGTAATTCAATACGCAGCACTGAGGATCAACGTGGATGCTAAGATTCACTTTGTAAGAGCAAGTGAAGTATGTGCAGATATTTCACTTTTGTTGTCTTGGCCCTTTCCCATCACTTTCCACACTGTTTTGTACAACTCTCAATATCATCCTACCTCTTCTTTAAGGTTTTGGCCTACCCTTCCTTTCTGCATCCATTTCTTCACTGCTTTGTAATCTCACAGCCATAAGTCCCAACTTATGGGAGAGGGGACGAGGCAAGTGACCAAGAATCCTCTCCCAAACCTCACTTATATATTATACAGAAACTCTAAACTGAAAGATGATAAATATGGCCACATACACACACACACAACTAACACTTTCCCTAAACAGTAGACAAACTACCATTTTGCCCACTCTAATTATGTTTTACCTCAACTAACTGCCTCCCTCATCAATCATACAAGGTTTCCCTAAATATACAATACTTAAAATATTAATACACAGATGACCAGATCTATCATAGAATAATGAGAAGTGGTGTTTAGGATTGTCTTAAATGGATAAGCTTTAAAGAATATTCCCTACATGAGATTGATCAATACAACTATCAGTATATACTGTCTTGTATCATCACACCATGAAACAATACATTTACAGCCAGCCTTTTAATTTTTATCTTTAAATATGTACTTGTTCTCCTTCATTTGGTAACCTTAGATTATGACGAGATTTTGTTAATCCTAAACAATATATTTTTTAAGAACATGAAAGCAGTTCCCCACTACAAAGGGTCGATGCCTACGTGAGTGAAACCTTTCAAGCACAAGAGTGTACTGTACTAGTTAACGTACCAACTTAACCGGAGCAAGTGGAAGAGGCTGTGGGTTTGACTGCTTTTTGGGTGTGCCTCGGGGAGTCTTCTTGGGAGATTTGACTTGTGTTGGGGAACTCACCAAATCATCGTCAAAGTACAAACGATTCTTCTTTCTCATCCGAGCAGGCTGGAAGAAATATTTTACAGGAGATTCAATTATAACAGAACAATAAGGAGACTAAAGCACTTTGTGGAGGCAGAACTTCCAAATCATTCATGAAGATCTGCAAGCCACTAAAATTAAGCAAATTGCCACATTTATGAGCTAACAACAAATAGCAATATTTAAATGAAAAAATGACAAACACACACACACACACTTCCTTACCATGCCTCTGCGATTTAACTGAATGCTTGGTTCTTTGGAGGGGGATGGTCGGTCTTCCCCCACTCTATGTAGTCCAAGAGCAGATAGAGGAGAAAAATCCTGGAGGAGAAAGACTCGTGTAAAATTTCTTAGTGGTACTCTAAAACAAACTACATAATGTAAATTAACACCAGTCTACAAGTCTAACTGTGGCATCTCTTTATACATGACACTATGGTTAAAACAATACCGGGGTGTCTCAAGTTAAAAAAAGGCATGTTCACAACTTTCTGAATCAACACAAGACTAATTAGCTGGTTCATGGCATTTGTCAACCACAGCAAATAATAAAATAAGTTAATGTAGCCTATGACACTCACTAACAGCTTCACTAACCATACTACAGTACACTATAAAGTACAAAAATGTGAGTCATGCTTAAATAATCATCAAAATTTATTCCTCATGTCTTGCAAAATGATAAAAAAATATTCTATACAAGTGAAAAAATAATGATAAATGCTTAAAACACTGGAGGTTTGCTTTCTGACATAAGACAGGTGTTCTCCTTTACTTCACCGATACTTCATACAAGACATAACTTCAATAATGAAAGATTCAAATTCTGTTCTTCAAGTCAACCATTCATTAGCAACGGATGATAAAGAAATGAGCTTTAGGTGACCACATGGTAATGATGACAGTGGAGGGAACTGGAGTAGATTGGTCTTTAATTATTCTTTTAAGTTATATGAAAAATGTAAGAGAAGTTACCATTACAAAATGATAAATACAGTACTGAAAATTTAGTTTAAATGTTTAGTCTTGAGGGGCTATAATTATCAAAATTTTACACAGAAAGATATTAATAAAATATGCTGACAGTTAATTATCCAAGTCAAATATATAATCAATCCATGAACATTGCCATCACAAGTTGGAGATGGAAAGACATGTCCAGGTAGAGTCGTGGACAAAAGTTTGCTCCCCTTGGTGAAATTGAGTCACAGGAATGAGTCTCCGAACTGACTTACCCTGACTGTCATCTTTTGGGTTGATACTGCTTCAATTTGGGAGGGAGTGAACCTTTGACCTAGGGTGTATACTGACAAAAACAGTATGACTCCTCCAGGATGGATAAGGATAATACAAAACAAACTGTTCAAATAAAGATCAGTAATAACATACCTGTACTTGTACCTGCTGTGATTCCTGTGGCTGAGAAAAGGCTGAGGAGGAGGAAGAGGAAGAGGATGAAGAGAAGCCGCCATTTTTGAAGGTCAACAGCAGTTCTGCTTGCTGCTCAGCAGACTGACCTGGAGAACACACACTCATGAGATTATACATGGTATGATGCTTGATTAATTAAGCAGTCACAAAACAGCAAGGGACACATTTATGATCGCCTGGACATTGCCACAAAACCTATTATAAATTAGCTTTCATGCAGGAAATGTATTAATATTATACTGAAATTTTTTTGTGCAAGCAAACTTTGGATATAAGGGTACTTAACCACAGCTACAATGGTATTAAAAAGATTTATATTTCTGACCGCTATAAGTATTCTAAGAAATCATCTTTTACCAATTACACAACTATACAAAGTGACGATCCTATCCAACTTGGTCGACACATCAACAGAGAACGGGTGTTCTTTTGTTACAAGGGATTACAAGATAAAGTTGTTTGGTTTAGTTTTGACAAAGCACTGCTGACAGCCACTGACGTACTGTAGTAATGGGTAGAGTAACCAAGTACTGTACTGTATAAAAGGAGAACAGTGTGATGATATAAGACAAAAGGAAAAGACCAAATTTTTTAAAAATTTTGGTGAACAAAACCAACAAGTCTGACTGGGAAGATAACTCTAAAAGGACACATCCCAGAGACTTCTCATTGTTTGTTTTTATATTACATTAAAACACTTAATTTTTTTAAGTTCACAAATAAAACCTTATTAACACCTTCGCTGCATTTCCCACACTTGCCATTTTATCCTGGCTACTTCCAGACGATTTTATTCAGCTTAGAGTAATCTTTCGCAGCCAAAGGGTTAGACCCCAATATCCAATACTGAATACAGTCCTGAAGTATAGGTACTGTTAGGTAGTCACCCCACCTTAGATGCAGGCCACAAACCTGGATGTCACTGACACAGTAATGAACCACTTACTACATTCTACATTAAATTAACCAAAAGGGGAACATTAGCAGCTTTTCATAGTGTGGTGAATCACTTGCTCATATGAACCACTGAGTGCATATTCTATTAACCCAACTTAGCTTATGTGCCTCTGGGATGTGAAAAACCTTCGGAATATCTATTATACTAAATACAGTACAGTAAACCCTCGCACTTCTGGACCTCTCAGATCTGGATTTCAGTTGGTCCGGATGACGACTGGATGTGGCAAATTCACATCCGATCTCCCTCTGTGTCCGTATGCTACACTCACTCCCCAGCTGCTAAAATGCACCCTGTCAGCATCTCCCGCCACTACTCACCATGTGCCGTTTATAGAGCACACCGGTAGTACTGTACTACACTAATATAATTATTATTATTGTTATTAGTGTATTATTATTACTGCATTACATTTATTATTTAATACCATTATTATTGTTATTATCAATACAGTGCATGTACAATATTATGATTATTGTTAACACACCTTCATCACCTGGTTTATTTGTACATTTGCCACATCTGGATGCCCTCTCCCCCCAAATGTCCACAAGTGTGAGGGTTTACTGTACAGTATTATGATTCTAGAGTAGATGAGAAATTATCCTACTTATCTGCTATAAAAATTCCATTGAATTTATGTAATGTATTTTGGGGGTCGAAAATGAGGCTGGGAAACATAAGTAGTGCATTTTATCTATTTCTTATGGGAAAACTTGATTCTGGTAACGTTGAGGTTTATAAGAACATTAAGCTAAGCCTCGCTGTATACTATTTTACACCAAGTGTGGTTGAGTACTGGTCGGTGAGCAAGGATTAAGTCTCCTCACCTACACAGTACCGCTAAGGAAACTTTGCAGGACTGGAACCACTAACTTTTCTTTGTTGACATGTTTTGGCTTTTAACAATGTTAAATTAATTTTCAAGATAATATTTGCCTATTAAAAAAAAATAAAAAATTGGAGGCTGCAAAAATAGACTGAGCATATTTGGCTGGGGTAGTGCTTACAAAGTTATGGTACGCATAGCCTCAATTGTTATAAATTGTTTCAATTGTGGGAGCACAGAATCATCTTTGAATTTACTTACTCATGAGGCAGCAAGTGGTCCATTGCCTCATGTGCTTTGTATGTTCCACTGAATAATAACAAACGGTCATAGAACAAGGTATGTTTTTACCTGGAACTGACACTTTTCTGTGAGGTCTGTTTTTATTCATCAGGGCTCATGGACCATACAGGAGTGGCCTACATACTGTTTTCTTTGCTCTTCAACTGCATTTACATTTTGTGAATTACAAAGAAAAAATTAGTAACGATCAATTAAAAAAATAATAATAAAACCTCAGTTATTACTCAACATTATCCTGAAACATTAAGCTTTTTTGGGAGGGCTTCATTAGGTTTTGTTATTGCGCTGACAATCAGACAAAGCGTGGCGATAAATTTGAAATTCTCAGCGTGTCCCATAAACTCGAAACATATGAACAAATATTACATAAAACCCTTATCGTTAGGGTTTTAGGATAGTTAGGTTAAGTTGAGCTCATTCATGTTATAAGCTATTTGTGGCCACTTTTACTCATCCCCACAATACAGTACATACATTAATAGATACATATAGATAAAAAAAATAAGAAATAGATTTGGAGAAAGACTTAAAATTCATCATATTTAAACAATCTAACTTGTATATTTATTCTCATTTATAAAAAAAAATATTATGAGGAATATACAACCTGGTCTTCAAGAAATAAGAATAATTAATAAACTTGGCCAAAAACAGAGGAGGAACAACATTACTGGGTCACACTAAACTGTTCCTGAGTATCACCAACCAAGTACTAACCAATAGAATTAAATGTACTGCACTAACCCATACACCGACACAACTGACCTAAGCTAGCAATTGAGGTACAGTATTCACCACTCCCAAAATTCCTACCACCACTAGAACCAATATATTCAACACAATTATCCCTGAAGTTAAACACTAGCCTGTTAGCGACCTAAAACTAGACTCCTCTCTTAGTTAAAATTATCAAACACGTAATTAATAAGGTCACTCCATCCAGCTTCAGACAGACTTTGAGAACATTCCATTTTTACCATTAAAAATTTCGTATATACCCGAGAAGTTCCTGTTGAGGCTGATATATCCCCAGGAAACACTAGACCCGTGTGATAATATTGGGGATCTGCCGAGGAACAGTTTCAAGCTGGCGGTGAAAATTTTTGCATTTGAGTATTACGCCATTCGTGGAGGAGAGCGAAATGTAAACAATCAGCAGGACACATAGCTACTTTGACTACCTTATGTCTCCTACACACTATACACCACACTATGCTGTCTTCCCACGGCACCACGGTACTCTGGCCAACTCGCTACACTAGTTACCAACTACGGGAGAATTTGGAACACACGATTATCACCAAAATTACCCAATTCGCTTTCAAGAGTATCCGCCATATTATGTGGCTGCGGCTCCCGATGCATTATGGGAAAGGCGCGGTCGATCCGGTTCGGAAACCTCGCTCTTTCCTGCAACTTCTAATTATCTACGTTTACGAGCAATATTTATCTCGGAAATTTCATTTCAGTTCATTTAGTTGATAACAATACTCATAGGCTATCAGAACTTGGGAGAAGTGACAAAGTAAATAAAAATTATATTCATTGCAAAATTGGCCACGAGTCATCGTGAGGAATGCGTCGCCCTGCTGGACCGCCGCAGTTTCGATTCACATTTTATTCCAAAAGTATTTATTTTGACCTCTAATACCCTCTGTCATAAACCAATAGTAGTGGAGTTTACTTTGAAGCTACTTTTCCAACTGCTTTAAAGAACCTTCATTGTATACCGAGTACTATTTGGACGGCAAGAGATCCACTAATATCAAGGCCAGCCAGCCTGATAAGATACACTTGCTTCTAACCAAGGATGTTAAATGACTTAGTTATAAGATTACAAGCTACTATATCCGTGAGTCACTGTACACTTGCGTGGGTGCAGTACAGGAGGCAAGTCATACCCTATATCCAGAAAACAACGTGCGGTTTTTTCTATAAATAACTCGGATGGCACTTGCTTAGTGAATGTAGTTGTGCACATCTAGTAGCCAAGTGTAGTCTGTTAGGCGGTCAGTAAACAGGCTGTATCACCATGACTGAAACATATAATTCCTATTTTATGTATTTTACTTGAAGCTTGGGGGCTGGGTGTTACTTCCAGGTTCTCACTGCATTTATAAAATTTAACGATTGGCGCGATTATCTTCTAGTCAGCTTCTTCTGCTATCAATGTTTTAGTGTGTAGTTTTGTGCAGTGTGAAATATAATTCCCAGCGATAAAACATATTAAAGCTCAAAAGACAATGAAAAAATTCAAGCCTTTAAAATAATTGAAGTAATGACGAAGAAGCCCGCAGCCGAAGTGAAGCCAACAGGTGCATGTGTACAGTACACCTACGAGTACATTAACCCCTTCGTTCCTCTTAAACATAATGCCATGGGAAAGGGACAGCGAAAATATATTCGTCCATAATGAATAAAATAATCGTATAGATTGTAATTACGCTCATGAAACTTTATTGAAATAATTTAAGCAATTCAACGATTCATCGCCCTCATATATCTATACTAGAAAACCTCTGGTGGTTATATAAACGAGTAGCGCGTATTACTGCTCTTTATACCACCTAGTTTACACCCAGTATATTTATTTTGTATTATCAGACGATCAAACTAAAGACAACTCGGTGAAGACGTCCAAGTGCGAGGTGAACGTCCTGTAGTTATGTTGCTAACTAGGGGTTTCATTGAAATTCCTCGGTCTGTTATAAATAAAATATCTCCCCTATATTGCTCTCACACTTAAGCTTGTGTTCGTTTCGTGAATTAAATAGGAATCGTTCGGGGAAAACCTCACATTAAGTAAATAATCACTTAATATATACGGTGTGTACAATAATGAATTACCATATCAACGTTAAGGATTGCTGGCTGACCTTCTGTATACTGATAGTACCGGCAGGTGATAATACTTTCGAGAGCTCAATCAGGACCTTTAAATGAGTGTATGTTAAATTATCCCTCAACTGGTGATATGAGATATATGTATCATAATCAACACTATACAAAGATTACTACCAAACCGACGTCAAAGTTTAGTTCATTTTCTACTGTAGCTAAAACTATATAAACGATCTCTTTTATCATCAGTTAAACTGATGGGTGGCGAAGAGTTCATATTTAAGAGAAGCTGTTAGGATTTGTTTTTCAGTCTTTCTTGTAATTATTTGTCTTTTTCCTGTATTTCCAAAAATCGCGATCGTGTGCCTTTTCTGCAAGCCTATCGCTCTCGAACTCCACCTTTGGCGTCGGCGGCGAATCCACGATTTTAGGTTAAGGGGGGAGGAGAAAGAGGGAGGGGAGAGTTATTATTTTGACACGTATTATATCAACACAAATACACTCATAGTTCAGACTCAGAGTAAGTTGGAATTTGTACTCTTCGAATTAACTGAAGATTAGCTCCCAGCTTATTTCACCTGATAAGTAAACACCCTAACACTAACCAACTATAACCTAATATAACAAAACCTGACCTAACCTCATACGTATAGCATTAGGGTGTTCAATCCTCTGATGAAATAAGCTGGAGGAGGGCTAATCTTCAGGTAATCCCCAATTACGTCTACAGCGACTCTTAATATACAGTACAACTACGCTATATATTCCTTAAGTTTGTCTTCAAATGGACACTGACAAATACATTTGCACATTACACTTACAGTGCGTATTTTAACTTGAAGTGATCATAGCGTGCAGAATCTTTCAAAATGTTTTGATAATTTTAAGGGGTGGTTTACATTAAGTAAAAATATTTTCAAGGGCGATGGTTTAAGTCTGTACATTCTTCAAAGGACGTTGGTTTAAACTCATGTTTCACGATAGAGGTTTTAGTTATAGTCTTTTAATGACGATTAAAACTATGATATTTTAATGACGATGGTTGAAGCTATACACTTTAAGGACGCTGGTTTAAGATATAAACAAGCTGGAAACTTTTAAGGGCGGTGTCTAACTTATACATTGGCAAGAGGTGGCTTAACATTAGTTTATAAATATCTCAGAAGTCATTACTCAGTCGAGTGTTCATACCTGGAGCTAGTAGATGCCCGCCCCACCCAAGGTATGTGTACCTTGGCCCCACCGGGTCCGGGGGTCACAGCTTTAGGTCGAAGAAGCCACGGGTTCAGAAAACTGAGCAAACTTTTATGGGGAGTTGTGAACTCTTGGAACAATCTGCAAGAGCGTTGTGGCGGTACCGAGTGTGAACTCATTCGACCAGACTTGACTAACACTGCCGCAGGCAGATAAATTCTGGAGCCAGTACATGTCCAGTATTTGCCAACAGTGAGTAACAGATTCAGAAACGTGACCGATCGCACGGACGGTTTAGTGGCGAAGAGGACGTTTTAATCTAAAATCTGTTATTGTTGATGGTCTAAGCTATAATTATTAAGGAGTTAAATCATCGTCTTTTCAGGGTGAAATAATAAATATTATACAACAATGAAATTAACTAATAGGAATACTGAGAATCAATCTTAATAGCTATCTTAAATACTGTGAATCTCCTTATGCGTCAATGATAATATATCAATATCAATATTTTATTAAATTTCGTACTAGCATCAGCAGGGTCAAAATGGTTCGGAGGCAAAATATTTATTTTGTTGATCTTTAGTTATTTTTTTTTGTATTTGGCTCTTTCTGTTGGTATTTAAAGTATGTATTGTGTACTGATGACTAAAAGTTAAAGTCTAGTTAAGAGGTATCAATATATAAATGCTGGCAATCAAGGTCACACGAGATAAAAAAGTAAACGCTGTAGACAACTGATAAAAACACGCCATCTTACACCACTCAAGGTTGACGCCAGATATTACAACTTAACTTCCTCGATATTTTAATTACATATTAATGACATTATTAATTACGATACAGTTCATCTTTACGACAGAGGCTGATTCCTACTGGGGTTCAATATAAAAATGACTACAACTTTGGTATAATACGCCAGTTTTATTTTGACACTCGTCTCCACACGGCTGGTAATGGTGAACTGCGCCAGCCATTTTTTTTGTGCTTCACACACTCGTGCCGACAAACAGAGCTTCATTTATCACAATAACATGTGTACTACAGCGTTCTTGTGCCTATATTTTTTTCCTCTCGTGATAGATAAGTATGTGAAATTAATACAAATAACAACTGATCGAGTGATAATTATTGAACCTGTCTGATAGACAAGAGGGCATTGGTGTAATTTTAAAGAAAGAAGCTCAAACTCCAAGGTTAACCTCCATCACAGGTGTTTGTGAAGACTTATGTTGATGAATCTTAGTATTTAGCAAAGTTCAGTAAATCATCCAAAATGTAAGCCTGAAAGCTTCATTCTACAGTTCATTAATTTACTGTAATACTTGCTATGTAAGTGTTCTATATACTTGAGCACTACGGTAATTACCAGTTCCATTCCGATTTCAGGGTAGAAAACACTCTGCAAAAGACTTGCCTTGTTAACATAAGGACCAAATGAGACAAAACTACAACCTTTCCACAGAGCATGAAGCCCTCAAATCCCCTTAAGGCAGAGTTCACACCCTCACTAAGGATCTATCCAACTCATCCAGGCCAGTAGTAAATGATCAAAGCAGCAGTTAACAAGTAATGACCTCATCTCAAATATAAAGGATCTATAATACTTATATCCTTGAAAAGCATTGCCAAGTCAAAGACAAAAGATGCTTTAACCAGTCTAGCTAAATCCTACTTGTAAGCTCCCAAGATTGAATGACTTTTAAAGTTGTAGTTCAACAGCTTATCCTTTACATGGGCAGATGGTTCTTGCCACAAATGTAGAACTGTCTCATTAGAGTGGAAGTAACTTTCAAGGTCGAGAAGGCTCACAATTCTCAAGATAATGTACAATATTTCCACCTCTAACTTATACTGTATCACCCTCCCTACAGCAGGAAGACGACCAAAAGCTTTAACTGTCACAACACACTTTCACTAAACTAAATATATTGGTTTGAGACTAACCAATTGCTAACGTATGAAGGCACAACCACTTCTCCCATTTTATTGTTTCAGAGCACCAAAAGTTAGCTTGGACACATTAGTTTGTACAGGCACACAGGACACCACCACCCACACACTTCAGTGCAGATACAGCTGGCCCCTGACAGTTTGTTTCAGAGAATAATTTTCCCGAGTTAAAATATCCTCGTATTAATCAATCTTTTAATACAAAATAAATATGACTACTGTACCCGCTTCTCTAAAATCTATTTACTCACACAGAAGGGAAAAAGGTTTGTTAAATTTCTTAAGGAAATCTAAAACTTTTAATCAAAACTTCCGTATTTACCAAACATGAATTACTTAATACAAGTTATGATCTTACACATGTTTCCTAAGATACTGCATTACTGATGGTGGGCTACACAATGTTAGTATGATCTTAGGGACACTGATGATGTTTTTAAGTATTAATTTCTTCTTTGTTCATGAAATAAAGGAACAGCAACAATAATACATGTTAGGTGAAGATTAATGAATCAAATAATAAGATAACACATAAAACAAGAGAAACCTTCATTACACTTACTGGATATTTTTACTCCTTGCCCATTGGCTTATAGGTCATCAAATACAAGCTTGGGATATCATATTCCTCATTTAATCATCAACCTAATCCAATTCCTAGTTACACAAAGAATAACAAAATGTAATCAAAGTCAAATAAATAGATTTACAGGAAACTAAAGGAGGAGACAAGGACAAGATAACAAATGAACAGAACTGAAACAAAATAAATAAGTAACTAAGAAACTAACCAAAATGCTCCTTCCCACTTACCAATCAGCTATTTACTATCTGTTCCATGGTGTTCTTCAAGTTCTAAGCATTCTACTGTCGATGGAACTTCCCTTAAAGGGGGAGCTATACACCTAACTCTCCTCTTATTATGCAACTAATTATCTCAATGAATCCAGATGAAGCAATGTAACTTAAAACATATAATCCGAATAACTTCTTCATCAATTCATCTTGGTGTCCACAAAACTGGGTAACAGCTTGGTGTCTAAAAACCATTCATCAACTCATCATGGTGTCTACAAACTTGGATAAGCTTACATACATGTTTCACATGAGATTATATAAGAAAATGTACTTTTGTTGATTAATCAACTCTGTGGTGAATTAAGCCAATCAGAAAGTTTCTTTCTTCGGTAAAATTTTCCTGATGAGGATTATTGAGGCTATCTTTTCATACAGAAAACATTTAGTGTTACCAAAGATGAAAAATCCTTTCTTCAATGAAAAGGATCCTAATAATCCACCAGGGTAGTTTACAGTAACCAAGGCACAGGATCTGGGCCAGAGTGGGCCACAGCAACTCGGCTGAGCATGGGTGCCGGGGACAGTGTCACAGAATGAGCGTGAGGTACTATGTCAATTACTATTCCTTGCATCAATTCGTACATCCTGTCCAGCCAATCCACCCAGCCATGTTCACTTCTCCTGAAACTAGCCATGTTTGGAGCTCCAATGCCTGAAAAGTTCTGAATCATACTGTAAATTGGGGCACTGTGCCAAGAGAGCCAAGGGATCTTCCAAGGGTTGGAGTACACCCAGTCCTCCTTTTGATCACTTGCATGAGATTCCATGGAAGTCAGGTCCAGGTTAGGAAGATGTAAGGGAATGAAATTTACGTCAACCTGACCAATCCTTCGACCGTGGCTTGAAGGTGGCCAATAAGGTCCCGTTGTAAAGCTCAAGCGTACATCCGAAGGATCCAAGTCCGAGTCATCCGGTTCACAACAAACATTGGGATCCTTTGTTCGCGGACGACAGTTCTGGTCTACCCTAGATGACTGACAAGACCGACAATTCTTGTGTCCACTACTGTGTTGCCGATGCTGCTGCTGCTGATGTTGTTGTTGTGTACTCGGTGAAGACATGGCCAGTAAGATGGATGTGGTCAGTGTTGTAATAGCCCGGGAGGGGAGACCTGACAGGCTCATATTCCTCTCTTCATCATCATCCAAACTAGTTTCCATATTTCCTGCAATTGAGAATAAAAATACTATATCCCCTGTAAGAATATTACATTCATTATTAAAGAGTTTAAAGGTTAAAAGGGATAAGCTAATCAATGTATTATTCTTGAAAAGAGAGACAGTGTGTTTTTTATACCCTCAGAGACTGTCTTGAACTCTCATTCTCAACTGATATCAATTATTCCATCTCCAGCAATGCTTCTCAAACTATTTCCCTAAACAAAAGTGAAAGGAAAACGGTGAGAAAAAGGAGACCGGGTAAAGGAAAAATGCCCATTATTTTCAGTACAATTTAATATATATGAAATCAACCAACCTGTCATGAAGCTTAGGGAGTCTGCCACTTGAACTGAATGACCCAACTCTGTCACATCCTTCAGGTATGGAGTCACAGTCTCATTGGATGACGATACATCATATGTCAAGTGATTCATCATTGTTGCCATGTGCTGACTACATTCTTGGGCCAAAATTGTACCTGCAACAATACTCACAACAGCAGCAGTGTATCCAACCATGCAAACAGCAAACACGTGACTCATCTGCAAATACATTCAGGAGGTGGGTGGGTGTTATACTGCTCTAAGAATCCCCGTAAATAGCTCCTCACATACTAAAAAAAAAACATTGGACTACACAATCCACTTCCTTCTCAAATGTACTGTACAGTGTTAGTCAAATTAATGGAATTTATTAAATCATCATTTATCAAGTACAGGTATACAACACATTGAATGTTAGGAAGTGAAGGGAAATTCTATGCAGTGATACACAATTATCATAATCTCCTTGGTGAGTCATAAGACAGTTATTTATTTAGCCTGGATTAAGTAAGAGACTGGTACACTTTGAGAGCACTAACCAAGTTCAAAAGAGGAGTGCAGGAGGCAGGAAGCGACTGGGTCAGTGACAGCAGATCCGAATATGTGAAGTAACCTCGTCTTTCTCCCTCACGCCATGCTACCTCACCCTCAACACGTTTAAATGCACACAGGAATGAATCTGCATCAACAAAAAGGTTCCAATCCTGAAGAGAAATGCAAGTCAAGTTATCAATGATCAAGCAGGAGCAATGAAAACAGTATAATTTCTCTAATTAATTCAGTGTTTTACATAGGTGAATAAAAAATCCAAAATCATTATATACATACATGTACAGTGTAATATGAAACATGCAAAAAAAATTCTACCCGTGTGATAAAGGTAACGAACTTATATTTCAAATAAGTATATTTGTATCCAATCTTTGTAAGCAACAAAACAATCACAGAAAATTCAATATCAGTTACTCAAGTTAATATGTGGATTAAGATACTTCATTGACAAACAAAAGTGCAACAGTTAGGGATTTTCTTAGTGTCCTCAAGGTTAGCCAGTCCAGGTGATGATAGGTACTTTAGCTAAACATTAAAACACCCCACCTTGGATTTTTAGTGTTAAATAAGAAAACAATGATTAATAAAACAAACCTTCGAGAAAAAGTCTATACTGAATATTAACAGAAAGCACAAATTGTTCATGATGTTGGAGGAAGCTGATCATTATGCAGTACATAACAAGCAAGAGAGGTAGGAACTGTAAAAGTTAATGGTCATAAAAAATCTGTATTACCGTAAATGCTTCTGGAAGTGTTTGCTATCTGAAGAGAAATACTTACAATGGCAACTAGGAACTCTTTCTCTGCTTGGTTGAGGTCACTAAGAGAGATCGCAGCAGACGTGGCCCATTCATCGTTAAACACCTCATCTTCCTCTCCATCATCATACAGGTATTTGCTTGCCACCACCTAAAAAAGTCATTATTTTCTACTGAACACTTGAGATGATTGGTAGTTTTGACAGCATACATTCTATTCAAGCTCCTCACATCGGCCTTTCCAATAATTTGAGGAGGAACACAAATAATACTCACATACAGTATTTGGTACTGACTATCTCCACATCCTGCAGTGTTGAAAGCAAAACACCATCTTTATATTCTTTTACTCTATACAGTACAGTTACTTCCAAAAAATGAAGCAAGAGTGGCAAACGTTGACAAATGATCAATATCAACATTGGTACAGTAATAGTGTGTTGATTGCTTTAGATGTACAGTATAGAATTAAACTGTACTAACAAGCTATTAAATTTTCTGAGACTAATATTTTACTTAAAATCATGAAGACTGAGATTTTGTACGACTAGAGACTGACCATTGTAACATAGACATAAAAAAGCTTACTGAGCCTTTGACTTATATGGCGACTCGGGAGAACTTAAAGCCCTGTGACTTACCATAGCGACCAGGAAGACTTGAGATGGCGAGGTATTGGCTAAATACTCCGGGTTGTGAGAGCGCAGGCGGTCCAGGTACATCAACGCAAGAATGAGCGAGCATGGAGTCACACAAGCATCATAACACATGGAGGAAGCATATCGTAAGTCCAGTTTTTCCAGCCCATCTTGACGGCACAGTTCACTGAACCTTTCGACAGACAAGCCTGGTATGGACAAATTGTACATATTAGAGTAGTTATCAAAACTTAATATTGTACCATAACTTGACTCCAAAGACACAATGTACAGTATGTCACTAAATACTGTACCTAACCACAAGATAGTGTAAATTTCTTTGTCCTGAAATTTAAAACACTTTATGGATTGTTGCAAAACTGTGCTGTACTCCCCCCTGTACATGTAAAAATCCAAACCCTGTTAGTTATGTAATATATACTGTACATCACAACTTAAAGCTTCAACTGATAATGAGTCCAGCACAGTAATGCACTACACAAATTCATGAAGTATTCTGGTTAAAGTTGTTTACGTACCCGGTACTATAAATGATGAAAAATATGAAAAAGAAATTACCTTTTTTGAAAGATAACAATAAGGAATCTATGAGATCATTAAACCAACAAATGATTCTGTGAAACAAAAAAGCCAAATATACTAACTTGTGAAGGGCAATGAGGGACGGTCTGTTGCTGGTAGTCGGCCATAGTAGAGTGATTTACGGATGCGCTCCGCATATTCCACATACTCTGGCAGGAACTGTGAAAAGTGACAATAAATATGAGCGTAAATAATGTTGTGTAATCTTAGACACAATTTAATATTCATCTTTACAACCAATGACAGCTGTTCAACACACCATGAACACAAGCTTTAAAATCCAACTTTTTGGTCCACTTGTCACACTGTAAGACAGGATGTACTGTATTTGGGACAGGAAATGTGATAACACATCAACAACACCAGCACTAGTGAGGGGTAATACCTGACTGTGAGGCTGTGGAACACTATACTGCACCGTACTTGGAAAATATGAGGACCGATGAAAATTATATTATCAAATAAGAAATGGGGTATTGTACTGTAATTTTAATAAGCCACTGTAAATATATTCTGATAACTGACTGAGGATTGAGGTGATATTCTAGTCTATACTAAACTGTAAACACATCTGTTACGACACATTTTATGACCAAGAGACAAAAGTAAAAAATTCAACTGGGTAAGTGCGGCTTAGAATTGTTTTATACCTCACATATATTAGTACAGTATATATTATTTCATCTTATTCCTCAAAGGAGTTGGTAACTAGCAAGAATTCCGTTCAGAGTTGGCAACACCGTTCATAGCATCAGCTCTTGTAGTGGAGGTCATGGCCACAATACATTGGTGTGAATCTGTTGTCTTGCTACAAATTTTGTTGAGGATTATAGCAAGTACAGTAAACACCCTGAGTTCTGGACACCTGGGTAACAACACGTCCGAATAACAACACAAATCTTGTAAAAAATATTAAAAATTCAAAAAACTTTCTTGGTCTTGCAGGTCAGTGTTATTGTTGTTGTGAGATACAGCCTGGACCATATGGTCCTGCCAGCCCAGCCATCATCACAACAATACTCATTGTTAAATTAACCTATAATTCAACCCAAGCTTTTGAGAAATACTAAGTATAATCCTTGACATAATTTGGAGCAAGACAACACTAATGCGTCTCGGCCGTGACCACAACAGCATTTCATTTGAAAATAAACAATTTAACATAATATAAAATAATCAATGTAACAATCAGCTTATCTATTATAGAAAAAATAATTACAATACAGTAGTTATGGTGCAAAAGAAATCAAACTACAGTACTGTATTACTGTCCACTGAAAACACAAGTTTGAATAAATATTCGGTAAAATTGCAGATTAAGGCAACCAAAGAATCTGATAAAAAAAATTCTGATGTTTTTTTATGCAACTGGCACAAATCTGACATTCGTTTTTATCACAAATCACTCGTTTTGAAATTAGCCCCCCCCCCTCCATAATAGTTCTATCGATTGCGTGTTCTGAATTCCCGGTACTCTGTGCTTGCTAACTTATACCATATAACCAAACTAAATCTTACTTAAATCCCTAGCCAGGGGCTCCGACCCTGTAATAACCCTAGAGTTGTGTGGTCAGCCTCCACGAGAATATAAATAGCCGTTACAGTATTTCTTGCCTTACTCCGAGTCAGGAAACAATGCATCGTGGGTTCCTGTTCTCTAAAATTTCCTTCTTTTTAGAATGAAATAATACAATAAACTTCCAATAATCAAAATCGCACCCAGCACATAATGGCTCCATGTTGCAACTGATTAAAAATGTCCCGCTCCCACACCCTAGCACCCCCGCCAAATATTGAATGCTAATTGGTTGAATCAAATGTTGAGATTTTTTATTGGATTTGATTGGCTGCGCCCCCCCCCACCTAGATTTGACTGGCTGTTCCCCCCCCCCAATTTGATTGGCAGCCGGCCCCGGCACATACGCGGAAGGTAAGCAAACGTACGAACACACAATTTGAGCAACAGCCTAGGGGCAACAGGTGCTCTGATTTTACTCTTTTTAAAATTCAATAACTTCCTTAGTATCAATTTGTGACATTAGTGTAACATAAGAAAATGATCATAGAAAAAATAGTTCTATCGATTGAGTGTTGTGAATTTCCGGAATTCTGTGGTTGCTGTAAACTGCAATATTACCAAATATTCTAGGACAGACTAATACAGTTTGTGTGTCAATTGTAATACAAACAGTAGTAAGAATATTTAGGCAATTTCATAATAAAATTTAAGATAATAAAAATGAGCCTCACATTTATAATTTTATTTTATTATTTTCGTTTTTTTTTAATTACTCAACTGTTTCTCATTGGCATCATAGTCCACAAGTATGAATTAAGGTTTCATTACTGTACATCGTCTTGTAGTCTTTCACAACCTGTACTGGTTTTTTATACTGTACCTGTCGTGTTATGTGCTACACTGAATATAATTAATACAATACTGTAAATTGAGTCTCAGAAGTGCTAAATAACCTTCATACTACAATAATGACTTAAACTGATAAAAAGAAGTCCTACATTACCATCACAGTCAGCAATACCTTATGTAAGTCTTCTACATGCAGATGATCACCAAACAGAGAGTTACCATACAATTGCTCATTCTAACATACATAAGACATAAATATACTAAAATTCTTTGACATTAGTGTATAACCTACCCCAAACAACCCAAGGATGTGTTTATTTCATTGTTTGGTGTAAGTTTCTCTGGCCATGCGGAGTAACGGGTGGAGATGTACACACAACTACAACACACAGTCTTTAGATGCTAATTAATTATCTACGACATGTATGCTGCCTTCGTACAGAGAACTATTAGTAAGTTACCTTTGAAAATTGAGAAGAGCTTAGTTTATCCGGTGTTTTAGGTGTCTTCATGATGCCTTCCCCACCCTGCGCATTTATCCGTCTCGGGGTGCTCACACTCGCACTGTTTACCTCACTCAACATTCCTTCAGCTCCATCTATAAATTTCTTACTCGTAAAATAACAACATATAGACAAATACAATTACTCGTGTTACATAGTTAAATAGAGTGGATGAATATTTTTATTTCTTTTCAAGACCTCATAATATGTAATTTTGTTCACTTTCTAATTCGAAATTTCATCACAAAATATATCAGTACGTTTTAAAGTTGTATAACAATATAATGGTAGCATTAAATTCATTCTAAATTGTTAGTCTAATGGTCAATGGGTGAAAAAATACTAATACTCCCATCACAACAGCTGCACTCGTAAATCTTGTATAACATGTAACATTATATGCTATTTACCTTTTGAATTTAATTTAAATACAATACACTTTCAGTGAGTTTAATACATTATTTAATGCGCATTGATGATAAAACATAAGTATTATGTATCTTGAGTTCCAATTTCCTGATAACGTGAAGTAAGGTGTGTTGTGCAGCTCACTCAGATAAAACATCTAAATTCAGATTAAACTGATTTTTTCTGATTTTTAATATTACAATTATTCCGGACACATACAGCCGACATATTATCCTAATATTTAAAAAAATATTATCATTAACCTTGAAGGTCTTTGAATACTAGTTTTCTTTATCTTAGTTAATATTTTAATGTCTATAAACAAACACAATGTTTAGGAGCAAAAAAGTTAAATCCAGGCTTAATTTATTAAAGGAATGTATCCTCAGGCAGTTTTAAACATATCCTTCTTATCATGGTGACCTCAAAACTTTACTAAAAAAAAAGCAAAACTATTTACTGAGAAAAAAAGAGGAAAATCTTAGGAAATATCTTAAATCTAAAGCCGAATTCTGAATTAGATCCGAATTTTCTATCTACCAGTTAATTTCTACATAAATATATTAAAATTCCACCCATATGTAATATTTTAAATTAAGCAGTAAAGTTATATATTTAAACATACGTCAAACAGCTTCATATAAAGTTGTATTTGATGTAAATGTTTCTTGGTTCAAGGAAGGCCGCCAGGAGGCTGCAGGACGGTCGTGATGGCTCTGCAGAAAAACATTATATGGATGGGTAGGATTAACACTATGCTGTTCCCTTAGTACTCATATAGATCATTTGCTTTCATTGTTATATTAACTAGATTTATATAATGTGTGAAATATGTGATATGATCACTTGTCCTCTTTAAACCATCATTGTTTACAAATTTTGTCTCATCAGCTGATTTTGGTACACAATCCCGGCTTTCATTATTAGTAACCGTGTAACAACATTTATATCAGTGGTGATGAATAAACGGTAAAGTTATTCTGGAAACACCGGCAAACAATTTCGGCATGAAAAATAATGCAGTTTTTCATGCTTATTACATTGGTGATTACTGAGTTTGGGGAAATTTTTAATTAAGTAGGTATGACACTTCCTTTCCTGTCAATTTTGGTCACACCAAAGGTAGGCAAGGACTTCGAAGCAGAGGGGAAATGTGGAATAAAATTCCTAACAATCGGGTCATTTTTCTCATCTATTATGTATTTATTCTGCAGACGCTGGGTTACCATTTAGGCTCATAAGCTGGTGTATGTTGAGTAATACCCAGATAAAGGCAATACATCCAGTTATATCACAAGAAACTGTTAGAATGTTTCCAGTTATTGGAGGCGAAGCTGAGCCGTAATTAATATTCTTCTAGGATGTGGTCTTGGTGTGCGGGCCGGAGCTTTATCTGCAGTACAGCAGCGCTACTCATCATCTGATGCAAGATTCTTGACCAATCCCAACCTCTCTGCTGTTAAGAGAGGGCGTGGAGGACGTTCTTCCTTCTCTGGTAATGTGGCAACTGTATTTGGTGCTTCAGGCTTTCTAGGACGCTATGTGTGCAACCGCCTTGGGAAGACTGGAACACAGGTAAGACTCCCATATGCCACATCCTCAGTCTTGTGGAATGTTTCTGTGTCAGGCTTTGTAAAGTGTGTGGAACAATTTACATGTCCTGGACAAGTGACTTATAATTTACTTGCCCCGACAAATTTTTTAAATAATTTGCTTGCTCTGGTTATTTTGTGGGAAAAATTAAATAAACATCTTAAAAAACGTTCACATTTATTGTGTGCATCAACTCTCAGATCGCTTATGCTTTCAGGCTCATAATTGATATATGATGCTCTCTGCTTAGATGCATTTATAAGCCACCATAGTTTAGCCTTAAAAAGCTCAGAGACGTCGGGTAAAAACAGGTGGTTTCTGTGGCTTAGGTTGTCTAAATTTTACTCTCGTTTCTCCCAAGATTATTATCCCCTACCGTGGCGACCACTATGATGTGCTGCGGCTGAAGCTGGTGGGGGACTTGGGCCAGGTGCTCTTCATGCCTTACCACCTGTGTGATGAAGATGCCATACGAAAGGCCGTCAAGCATTCCAATATTGTCATAAATTTAGTTGGACGAGATTGGGAAACCATGAATTTTTCCTTTGAACAAGTAAGTCGTGTGATGTCTCAAAGTTCACAAAAAAAATTTCATCACTGTATGGTATATTTTAAACAATTAAACCTTGTTATCTTTGAAATACTTAGTCTAATCTATGGCATTGCATAAAACTAAAAAAGTGATATGATGCAGAATTAAATTAGGGAGAGAACAGTACATGGAAGGATTATTGGGGAGCTGGGAAGGCTAATCAGTGTCTATTATTTAGCTCGGGTATAACTCCCTATCAACAAATGCAGTCTAAGAATTTCAAGACCAGAACATCGTCTTTTTTCAGTAAGCTAAAACCTGTGTGATTACTGGTATGTATATTAAAGAATTTTATTGAATAGGTTAATGTGGAAGGTGCTCAACGCTTAGCCCAAATCAGTAAGGAGATGGGGGTCGAGAGGTTCATCCACTTGTCTGCACTAAACTCCAATGTTGAGCATGAGGTAAGGATTAAAAAACAAGTGTCATTGTCTGAAGTAGCTTTATATTCAGTCATCATAATCACTGTCTTCATTGTTTTGTTTTTTTATTCTGTGATAGTGTAAAAATTTAAATATTTTTCAAGTATTTTAGAGATCTATTTACTGTAATTTCATGTATAAGATTATTCATATTGCTATTGGGATTAGGAAATAATCAACTGTGGAAAGACTGAATTTTGATCACACAAGGAGAGCAGGATTAAAGAAGGAAGGAAAAAGACGTGGGTGGGAAGCAGAGAATAAAGTGATGAGGGGGGAGGATTGAAGAAGATAAGAGGGACAAGGTAACTAGATGGAGAGAATGGAAGTGGGAGGAGGGTAAGAAGAGATCACAAAATTTAAATTAATGAAACAATGAGGTTAAACGGGACAAAATAACATTGTTTGAATTACCTGTGGGAAGCTTTATGGTGTGGCAGGCAGGCAACTGTGAGGTGAACACTGAGAAACAACCAGCACTGATACAACATGGTCCTCATGGAAGTGACAGCTGTTTTATTACCTGGAGGAAAATTTTAACACATCAAGGTCTTTGTCCAAACCAGTTGTAATCAGGAGCCCAGAATTCACTTTCTAGAGAAGTTTTAAATCAAAGAAAACTATTCCTGCAAACATATTTTACACAATTTGTTTCTTATAGATTTAGTTAATTATATTATATGTACACATCTGGTGAACGATTGTTGCTGTATTGACAAAATATGAATTTTCTTCACCAGGGTTTCTTGATGAAAGGTGGCTCAAAGTTCTTGAAAACTAAAGGTCTCGGCGAGCAGGCTGTGTTGGATGCTTTCCCAGAAGCTACTGTTTTCCGCCCTAGTGATGTGTATGGCCAAGAAGATCGGTTCTTAAGGTTAGAAATACTGCTATGTAGTACCTAACTACTGTATTATAATTTAGAGCTTAACTTACAAAAATATTGTACCAAATTTATATTTTATTATTACAGTACTGTATATACTGTACACATATTAAAATGTGTCAACCTCTACTTTTATAAAGGTATTATGCTGGATTATGGCGACATCAAGGCCGTATCATGCCACTGCCCAAGGCTGGCAAGGATGTTTGGAAGCAGCCAGTTTATGTTGGGGATATTGCACAGGGTATCATCAATGCCGTGAATGATCCTGAAACTGCTGGCAAAATTTACGAGGCTGTTGGGTGAGTGGATATATGGGTAGTTCTGCAATATATTGAGCAGAATGCATTCATCTAATGTCTTCCCTCAAACTGATTGTTACTACATGCAAAGAGTTTCTGGGACGAGACCCCACTTGGCAAATTCCCTATTAACATTTGTGTTGACAGCACCTCTGGTGGGGTGCACACTCTTGGGTGTTAACACTCGCAGTTACTTGTGTTGTAATAAATTGTCATGGAAGAGACTATTAAGACCCTTGGATTAATGTTAAGAGGCTTGTAGATGTAGTATTAGTGTGTATGTAAATATATTGCTTGAGAAATCTGTTGCCATTATAGCGACTAAATTGGTAATGTGAAAATTTTGCAGACCTCGTAGATACGAACTTGTTGAGCTGGTCGACTGGTTCCACCGTGTCATGCGAAAAGACTTTGGCTACATGACCTACGACATGAAGTGGGACTTAGTCTTTCAAGTGAAGGCACGCATGACAGAGTTCCTTCCATCGTGGCCAGTCAATACCCTCACCAGGGATAAAGTAGAGAGGGTAAGAATGCATTTCTTTCTAATGAATATTTTGACTTACTGTGTGTGTGTTTGCACATGTTTGGCTTTTTGCATCCATGTATGTTGGTACTATATAAATTTTTTTTATACCTCGGTAATAATCTTATTTGCATTTTCTGTCAGGTCGAGACCACTTCAACTATATGGGGAGTAAAATTTCATAACTGTAGTACACGCTTTCAACACAGCTATGACATTTTTTATGCAAATTTGGGCAAAGTATTGGCTTTAAAATTGTGTGAAACTCATTTAATACTTTCTGCTTGGTCCCCCCAGGAAGGAGTATCTGATGTAACAACGGGTCTTCCCACTCTAGAGGACCTGGGAGTCACACTTACAAAGATGGAGGATCGTATAGACTGGGAACTTAGACCATTCAGAGCCGGCAGCTCCTATGATGAAGAACTTGGTGAATTTGAACCCCCAAAACCTCCAAAATACATTGTAGCAAACTGAAGGATTTTTTCACTTTTAAGACTTAACTCGTGGTAGTTGATAAATGACTTTTGTTACTCCTTAATGTAAATAGAATGTGTTGCATCATATGGCATTTGTGACCTTTCTTTTTATATAAACCATAGGTAGTGTTAATGAATACAATCCAAGTTAATGTCAAAACAAAAATCTACATTTATTGATAGTTAAATTTGAAAATATTAACATAGGTAATTTATGATATTGTAAATAGTACTGTACATGAATTTTATGCAATTCAGCTGATGTAGGTATATATAATAAAAACTTTTCAGTTCATATGTAAGCTTTCTATGCCTTGTAGCAGCAGAGGAGGGACCGTCCTGTAGCAGCCCTGAAAAGTAGATCTAGTTAAGGAAATATTTTTAACCAAACCTCTGAAAAACTGTAGTGTTGTCTGGAATGGTCAGGATAAAAAGCAATGACAAGCGAAAAAACGAATTTTCTTGACTTTGACCAGTGACCCTCTTCGAGTTAACAAATAATACAAATTTTAAATGATTTGTTGTATAGAGTTTGTCAGCAAGTACCTATACCCCTTTGGGGTTAAATATAAATTGAACATGTAAATACAGTACAAAATTAATATGAATGACCCAAAACCACAGGAATAGTATGCGAGTGCTTGTATTATTTTCTCTTTCCAACATTTTCACAAGTAATCTCCACATTAGCTGGAATAATTGGGGCAGAGCTCTCCTGGGTTTGAGAGATTTCCGGGTTACGAGATGACTGCTTCTCAAACCTGGAATTGATTAAACCTTTCCGGAAAATTCCAGCCATTGAAGAGTTCTGGTGATTCCAACTAATGGGGAGACCACTGTAAATAATATTCTTCCTCCCATGCACATACTGTAAACCATAAGCTATTAAATGCAAAAGGTTAGTGAAACTGACCAATAGCAGAAAAATACACAAAATGCTCTGAGGACAGCATTATGCTACAGGAAGTACAAGGCCACCAAGTGTAAGAAGCTTGGTAAAGTGAGTCAACCATAACTGGTGACAGTCAATGATGGTGTTGAGGCAAAAGGGTGTATAGATGTCTTTAGAGTTGCCAGAAAAATTTTTAGTGCCTTATTAATGTCCAAGCATAAGATGTAACAGAATGTTACAATGCAGAGGCAAGAAAATTTTAAGAAAGGATAACAGGTTTGATAAACCAGGTAAAGTATCAATGATACACATTTCACTTTCATGCTAAGGAAATTTCTAAAGATTTATTACGAGGCTCCAGAAGGCGATTGGTTGAAAATACTTATGAGTTCCAAATAGGTAAACTACAACTAAACCTCCATATACAGTAGTTGTGGTGGAGAAAAATAAACAGGTAAACGGAGCAAGAACAGCCAAAACTTTAGGAACTATTAAAAACTAGTGTTCAGGTTAAATATGAATAGATAATTGTGTATGCTAGTAAGTGAATTGACGAGATAAAAATAGGAGCACCTTACATGCAAGACGTTATAAATCTATGAAATACAATTAAATACTGTGGAACAATCTGGTGTATGCTAAGACCTCTCAACACTGTCCCTCTGAATGCAGAATTCTTACTTCAAGAACAAATTACAAAAATGTTAGTTTGAGCTTCTTTAAAATTTAATGTGACCTTGTAAATACACAAAGGCTTCATGTGCAGCAACTGCTGCCTCAAAAAGAAGTCTTTGGTGTTTTTCCCCTGGCACTGTAGTGCAGTGAAAGGAGCTAAAAAAGACAAAAGCTGTTTGGAGACAATGCCAATTGTTGAATAAGATTGCTCATTGCTCTAGTCAGGAATCAAAATTATTCCTCAAACAGTGCTTTTCATAATTTAAATATGAATTTATATCATAATAGGTCAAAAACACAAATGACATGCAGGAATATCACAAGTGGAGATTGCTCTGCACTGTATGGAAATTGCTACTAAGAAGTTTTAGTTTATGCAGTATAAGTAATCACATCACTTGCATTACAAGGAATCTAAAATCTCCTTACCACCAAGATATCACCAACAAGGCCATTATTTTCAATACTATAACAAGAAATGCTTCATGTACACTGTTTAAGAGAAAAAGCCAAGAATTTCAGTAAAATTACATTTCCTTGGCAGTGTAATGGTCTCGCACACATCTACGTAAGTTCCAACAGGATCACAAACTCCACTTTTGTACTGTGTCGTCTACATACCTGGTCAATGTTCCTTTCCTCACATTATCAAGCTGTGCAAGTTTCCTCCAGTCTAGTCCACTGCCCATCTGAAGAAGCTTTTCAATATTGCCTAAGCAGGAATCAAAACAGAACTCCTAAGTTTTAAATAAAAAGCAAACAAACGAGCGATGTAGTACAATTTGACCACCACCACTTCAGTGCCCCAAGTTTTGAAGCTGCAAATCCATAGTTTCTCAGTACTTGTATTTAAGATATCATACTGTAAGAGAAAGTTAATGTATATATACCGAGAATGTTGGTTGTTATGCTGCATGTGCAATTGTTTCTCGACTAATTAAATTGAAAATAAATCTTTAGCTACACAAGATTTTCCTGCACTTTTAACATGATTCACAGTCTATAAATACCCTGATTTAATTTTCCACCAAATCAAGCACAGTAGTGATCTACTGGCAGCATCATTGGCAAAATTTCTTCTATCAGTCAATTTTCCTTGAATACAGCCGACTGCAGTAACCTATAAATACAGTACAAAACTTTAATATTCACAAGGTAGCTACTGGGATAAGTTTGTAAATAAAGTTTTTACTTCTACAATTTATTTATTAAACAGATGAGAAGAATGCAATTACACATGGCAATATGTTCCTGGTAGTTTACACTGCTACATCAAGAAATGTGCTCCAGTAACAGCTTGTGCATGTTGTTCAGTATAAGTGTGCAGGAAGAAAGGGAAAGAGAGAGTCGTTACCTCCTTCACCGGGAACAGTTGGGTACAGATATTATTACTTCATATGCAACTGATCAGAATCATGCTTATATCAATTTCTGGAATTATGGATTACTATAAAATTAAAAAAATAAAACGAATTGGTTATAATTTTGAAGTAAGGGGTAATTCACTTTATAATAAAGTATAAATTTCCATGAAAATAAAAATCAACATCATACATAAAACACTCAATTGTACTTTAACAACATTTATAAGCTACTCTGTCTGGCAAACTAAATAAAAAGGAAATTACCACAGTGGAAGGAGCAACCTAATTTTGTGAAGAAATTATGCAAGTTTAGCCTTCCACATAAATACTGAAAATCAAACACTGTACTTGGATTATTAAAGTCATTTCCTTTTGAGTGACAATTGCACTAGACAGAACCATCTACTTATAACAAAAATATCTTATTTCCTCTCACAACTTCTACTCCTGATCATGGCCAGAAATTTACTACTCGAGATCATGGCCAGAAATAAACTAAAATAAAGTACAAATATAACTATGTTCAAACATTCTTTTGCTTTATCAGGTTTCCATATGCATTAAATTTTCAATATCTCTGGATTACCAAATCAGTTTGTAGTAATGAAGAAAAATTCAACTGAAAAATAACAAATTCACAATGAGACAAATAAATAATTTATTCTAGAATGTGAAAAACTATGAATTGTACTTTACAGATAATTTTATAAAAAAAAGAACGAACATATCCAAATTATTTATCAAAAAATCTCGGGGCAACAGAGTACAGTACCTGTCACAGATTCTATCTGTAAGGTACAAAATCTCTTGGCATTCTACAGTTTACACAACATAGGAACAATGATGTACATGAACTTATTACTTCAGCTTCTCCAGGAGCATTTTCTCCAGCTTTACTGCATCAACTGCAAACTTGCGGATTCCCTCGGACAGTTTGTCAGTGGCCATCTGATCTTCATTCATTTCCCAACGGAACTTGGCTTCTTTCATCTCGACCTTTTCCAAGTCATGTTTTTTGGCTATAGAAGATGAAACAATAATAATAAACCATCATAGAAAAGGCTCTCTGAATATCAACACAATTCTTCAATAATTATTTTAAGCTTCTACAATCGTCCTTACTTCTGTAGAGTAGCATCAAATGGTACAGAAAACTGAAAATGACAAGGGGAAGGGGAACACCAAGTACATTTAAAATTTAGTCATTCAATCCATGATTCTATCTCCTCTCCATCCACTCAGATTATCCAAGTATCAGCCTCTCCCTTAAGTGTATAGTAGCATCTTGACCAACACAACTTAGGTTCCTCAAAAATAGTGTTATTGATAAACCTAATACTGTACTGTACCCTGAATTTCTGAGAATAGTGTACTCGAAAGTTTTTCTGGCCAATGAAGAGTCCCGAGGATAAAAGATTCCAGCTATTGGAAAAGTTATTATACAATAACATCTGTCCACACAATTTCTTTTCATGGTTTAATAAAATTAGTACTGTAAAAAACTCTTCCATTGCCCCAAAGGCCGTTTTCCCATCAATTTGCCACTCCGTTATTTAAGAGAATCAAATAAAGGTACCTGTATTAAGTTCCTTTAAAGATTACATGACACACTTAAGGTTCAATGTCCTTCAGTCCCACACCTAAAATTTATTTTATACTTTGTTCCACTTATCTTGAATATAATCTCAAACCCATTTTCATTCTCGAGCTTCATTCAACTAGCAAGTCTGATCACTGGCACGGACTCTCTCCTTAATTTTAAACTACAGTATATATATTACACATGGGAGTAAACTTACCACTGGCCTCTGACAGGTGTTCTATGATAGGTTCTTTAGAATTCTGCAGTTCCTCGAGGAATTTGGGGCCAATGGTCAGAAGATCACAACCAGCAAGTTCACAGATCTCACCTGGGAGAAAAATATGAAGGGAGTGAAATATATATCACATCAAGCAGTGAAGTATACTGTACGTTATCAGCATTGGATTTATACTTAATATAATTCATTAATGATTACCAGGTATACAGGTATATAAATTCAATAAAAAAGTATTAAATTTACAAATAGTGAAGCTTAAACTGAAACTTACCACTATTCCTGAACGAAGCTCCCATAACAACAGTGTTGTAGCCAAACTTTTTATAGTAGTTGTAGATGCGGGTGACACTCTTCACTCCTGGGTCATCCTGAGGCTCATATGACTTCTGCTCACTGTTTGCAACATACCTGATGAACAAAGTAAAAATTTCTAATAGTAGCTGTGGATTCATCAAAACTATCACAAAATGTTGCCTGTATTCAAATCTTACTTTAGAAGGGAAACAAGAATAGTATAATATAATGGTCACCAAACAACTCACTGTTCACAAAGGTGGCAATAGAAAACTTTCCTTAAGGACTTCATTAATATAATATGGTACTAAAGAACGTATAAATTAAACACATGATTCTATAAACACAGGTAAAACATAAGCCCAAAATTTCTCTTAACACACACGACATTTACTATGAATGATCAAGGGCCAAAAATATTTCAGGTCGTACTTACCAATCAAGAATACGACCAACAAAGGGAGATATGAGAGTCACTCCAGCTTCAGCACACGCCACAGCCTGAGCGAAGCCGAACAACAGCGTCAGGTTGCAATGAATGCCATGTTCCTCCTCCAACACCCTAGAGGATGATGAAATCTCTTTATTAACTGAAGCCTTTATGAATAATCTAGACTATTATCTCTTCCTACTAAAGCCTTGATGAATTAATGTTAAAGTACATGCATAATTATAATGATGGAGAAATGTATAATTGCTTATCTTAGTTATACAGAACAAATTACAGTCTGGTGTTAACCACAAAAATACAATACGGTACTGCATTTTTTTTTTACATCATGCCTATTGCAATACCTAAATTGCACTACTCACTTTGCGGCTTGGATTCCTTCCCAGGTCGATGCCAGCTTAATCAGAATACGCTCCTTGTCGATACCTTCAGCAGCAAACATGGAGATGAACTTGCGGGCTTTGGTGATGCTGGCTTCCTTATCAAAACTCAGTCGAGCATCCACCTCAATGCTGACCCTCCCAGGAACGATCTTCAGGATCTCACATCCAAACAACACAAACAACTTATCCATTGCGTGGGTCAGCTTGTCAGATTTGTTGCTGAAAGACAAAAAATTATTTCAAAATTATTATTGTAGGCAAAACATTAACAATACTAATACGTACTGTAGTTCGTTTGATACGGACTTAATAATAGGTACAGTATCTACATTCAAGTAAACACAAAGTATGTACATCAATATGGAACTGAACAACAAAGAAAAATACATAGTATAAAAAAAAAAGAGAAAAGGTAATTATCACAAATGAATATTTGCCCCCATTTTCACTTCCCATTCTCCCCTTACTGCTTATCTTATAGCATATAGACCAATTAAATAAAAATAAAAATCATTCACAACCAAATGAAAGGTGATTAATAGCAGCACAACACACAATAGCTCAAGTACACACCTGGGCCTTGCTTATGTTTGAAGAGTGACAATAAGTAGTGACCTTCTGAGTGTGAGTCACAAGTCATGCCTAGCTGGCCACCAATGTCACACTTCATGCTCCACAGGCCTCAAGGTGGGAGTGTTTCCAAATAGAAAATAACACCTTACAGGGATAAAAAAGTCCTAACCATCAACTAAAGAGGTAAAATGATGGTGTAAAGGTAAGGAGCATCACACTTATTATGGATACAAGATTTGCCATTAAAATTCTTCCATGGTAAGAGTTTGAGGACCCCAAGTTCACCTCAAAGCTAATCAAATATACAAATACTCTACAAGCTAAATCTCTTATTATACAAATTTTAACCCCTTGTGTATGCCGTCCTCTCTGTGCCGAGCAAAATCGTGTGGCATTATTCAAATACTGTACATAAAATTTATAAAACCGACGTCCTATTAGTGAATATTAGTTTTTAAATAATGAACCCAGTGAGTTTGAAGGTTGTTGCTGAAACTGTACGAGGAAGTAAAAAATCTGATTTTTTTTTACATAAATATTAAAATTCCCCCAAATTTGACATTCAGCCATGACCTTGATCTTTAATAGATTTGAATTTGAAGCAAAGAGCTGATCAAATGATATATATTCAAAACAAAAATTCAAAATATCTGCACTGTACAGTATCTATAAAACCTACGCTGCAAACAAGGAAAATTTACCAAGCCTTCCAATTAAGCTTCACATTAATTCCAAGTGAAAGTTATTAAATCCATTCCTTAAACCACAGGCCAGCCAAGACTATTAAGTTTATCTGTTCAATATGTAAAAGTGTACACAGACAGACAGAGAGACACACACACCATGGGAACAGCCTCAGGCCCCCAAACACTCCCTCCCACTCAGCCAGTTGCAACACCCCAACTCACCACCACCAAACTCTTGCCAAATTATGTAAACCTCACTTTATATTATTATCTATCATAAGTATTGCCAGGCTTCAAAATATTTAGGATCTACAGGTACTAAATTTTAAGTAATAATTCAGCACAGACTATGGTGATAATAATTATACTATCTGCTGTGAAACTTGGCAGTATGGGAAGGCCTATACCTGCATACACTTAACCTACAAAAAGTGAACAATGGCAACCCTTCCCTAAACAACCATCTCTGACCACAATAACAAGCCAACTGTTGCCACACAGTACTGGTATGTGTACTGTGTGGCAACTCTCCTCAATATACAATAGAACTCCACAAATACCTGTATCCATTTACAACCATTAAAAATAAATAAATCAATTAATTAATTAAATATGTAAAAGATAAAAGCTAATCTAAATTTAAAAATCTGATCAGGAGGGGACACCAACACTCATGCAAATTAGTTATCCGACAGCAACATTCTCCACCAAACTTCATTTCTCACATGCATATTGAATCAACTATGGCCAGACACTTCAAACTACAGTAAAGTATATATAGTCTGGTTTCAATATTTCCTAACATGTTCAAGGTTCCAACAAGCTACAGTAGTTGATGAAATACTTTAAGGTATATACATCCTTCAATTCATAATCTGTAACATAATTAAATCTCAATAAATTTCACCGATCTAGTGCAGCAAGAGTAAATGCGAGAAGTTCTGTGAAGGTTATCTGCTTACTCTTGGCAATAAATATCAAGCTTAGGAGACATTTCTAATTACTAATCCCTGTTTGCTTCATAAATTCTTGAAAAATCGGACCATGAACAACACCAATAAAACACAGGCAATTTTCTATAGTATTGAAAATAGTTTCACAATTCCCTATGAAGAGAAATACTGTACAATAACAAGTCAATGAATATATTTGTAACTCCACACTATGACAACTTTACTAACTACTCAATCATTCTCAACAAAAGGGAACTGCTGTATTGAAATAATGTAACACGAATTATAAATACCCGTACCTAATTATACATGCCACCACTGGGTTTCTATTAACAGCCATTAAAGTTCTACAGTAGAAAATAATCATGCAGAACTACCATGAGACATGCTAAACATCCGGAGAAACTGGACAAACAAGAAAGTAATTCTGGCAGAGTGTTTCACCAGTCTGTACCAGAGGTGGCTGTAACCTTGAGCCAGACTTTCTCTCAAGCTCCAGCAATCACCTGAGTTTCCACACATCAGCACTGACCAGTAGAGCAGACAACTCAGAACACCTACACCTCTTATGCAAGGCCTCTCTAGTTACTGAGGATTCTTCTTACTATTTTTTGAATAGTTGTAGGATTCAGGTTAAGCACCACTGAAACCCAGAAAGTGGCCATAAAGTATTAATTACACCTTTAATGCATGGACTTCCTGCTAACTGCTTGTGCATTTTAGCTTAAAACTTCCAACGTTCAACAAAATGAAAAAATGCAATAGAGTATCTAAAACCCACTGGAATTATCAACAGAAGAAATTTCCCTTGACCCACTGTCAGCCAATGTACACAAGCCACTGATTCATCAAGAATTTTTTTAAATACAATACAGTACAGTACACAGAAACACTTACTGGCCTTTGCCCTTGCCATACTCCACAGCTTCATCAATGAGTGAAGCATACTGGGGCATGTTGGCTGCCTGAAGGATGAGTGAGGGGTTTGTGGTGGCATCTGTTGGCTTGTACTTCTTCATGGCTGTAAGAAGTACAGAACATTATAAATAAAAATTTTAAAATTCAAATTTGTTATTCCATGGACATTCTATAGTACTTCTTACTAATACTGTACAGTACACTAAATTACTTCGCATACAATAGCAAAACCTTCGTACATAAGTGATATACACAAATCACTAGGATACAAACATTCTCACAGAAAGACACATGCATGGACAAGTATATTCATTTACTGTACACAAATTATAGCATGTACAGTACAAGCAAACTTACACTGTAATACAAAATCCCATAACTGACTGAATACCAACTGAGGTATCAATGCAACCCCCTTCCAAAGCAACAATTTAATTTGCCTCAATTAATCTGAGTTAGGTTGATCTGGAAGTCCTTCTTTGTTGACAGCTGTGTTGATACACCTTGATTTGACAAAAAATTTATCACAACAACAAAGGAAGAGAAATTTTACCCAACCTCCTTCTTGCACTTTAGTTCATCTTCTCAAGGTTACCTTACAAGAGTCATCATGACATTAAACTTGCTATGAAAAGCAAACGCCTTATTACAAAAGTTTCTTTTTTTTCTACAGCCATGTTTCACTGAACTCTTACAGTAACCTTCAAAAGATATTTCCAGTATTTTTAACCAGTGTTTGTATATTTTTTTCAATCTTAACTAATGATGATTGTGTTCTGTACACTTACTGGCTGTATTCCATCTTTTTGCTTTCAATTATTTTCTATACTAAATATACAGCACCAGTACTCCTTTAAATCTCAGCCTCTCTCTTTACCACTCATAAGTTCACCAAACTACTTTTACAAAAGTTAATATTGCCCAGTAACCACAGCAGCACAATGATGCCTTATAATCATTCAATCACTGATACATAACACCATTCCTTATTACAAATTCACACATTATATGCAGTACTGAACAAGTAAAACAAAACTACTCTACTCCCAACCATATTAGTCCAAGTACTATACCTAATTTCGTTCATCTAAGTAACAAGTGAGGAACTAACACCCAGCCATGTCATCCAGAGCAGGACATACATGTACTATACAGTACTGTACTTAATGCTCCACTATTAATTCTGTAACTAGGGAAGTCTGCAAAACTTATGCCTCTGACTGAGTAAACTCCTAGAATCCTAGATGAACACCACATAACCCCTCAAGTGCTTGAAGTTAAAATCACAGCTCCCCAGGCCCCGGAGTTAAGTCATCGTGCTCAAGGGGTTAATGCCTCTTACAGATGGTGACTTGGGCCTGAACATGTATCTGTACACTAAAAGATTCTTTACCTATGGTAGATTTCTGAGGTTTTGGAGAAATATAAATTCTTTTAACGAACATATCTATACCTGAACTATACAGGATATGCTTCCGGCAAGTACCAGCACCTCTATTACACATTACATGTACACTATTTCATTCTGCCAATACTGTAACATAATTATTTGTAATTGGTTCAAAATACATTCTGTAACATATGACAAGTGATATCCAAAAAAGAATGTCACCATGTAGTCAGTAAAAATAATTGATGAGGAATGTGCCAGGTATTGATCACTTCCTAGAAGCCATCACCAAAAAAAAAAAAAAAATGTTTGGGCCAAAGCGACAAAAGAATTCCTGGCATACCTCCAGCTAGCAATCTTCAAAGTTGACAATGACTTCATGCAAATTTCTGTTCTTTTGCTTAAGTAAGTACTCTACAATATATTATACAAGTACAGACAGGAAGACTAAATGTAGATAACTAAAACTTAAAAAACATTTCACAAAAATCTTTGAGATCTTAAACTGACGACGTAAAACTACTACAGGTATAGGGGTAATTAAAAAAGAAAAACTCCATGACCTCCCCTAAAATAAACGAAAAAAAAATCATAGTACAGTACAGTTGGAAGCTTCTCTTCACTTACAACATAATACTGTAACACGAATCATACAGAAAATATGTACAGTAAAGTAGTGTATTTATACAGTATATAGCTATGATGCAACACATGACATTCCTTTGTCCTAGCCAACTGTTGAAAGTTCTTGAGCCGATCTATGCAGCACAATACATGTCTAATGTCTTGTATCCTTTCCCACATAAACTATAATTTTCACACCCATAATTATGCTCAAATCAATATTATACTTCTTTGTAATAATTGTCTTAATCATACCACTGTCATACCTACCACAGCTACACCCTCAAAACACATGTCAATCATGCCTAAATACACATATCCGCCTCAATCATGCCCCCATGCCACATCCACCTCAATCATTGTCCCCATAACACCTCAACCCGAGTTGAAAAACTACCTGACAAGTTCAATATAAGCCAACTACTGCCTCTAGGAAAGTCCTACCCCTATAAAAAATAACTGCCTTATTTAATCGATGGCAGTAGAAAAATTTATTCTCCTCGTTATTGCGTGTTTCAAGTGTTTAGGTCATGAGGGAGCCATGAAGCAAATGAATACCAATAGATATTTTTGCATGTGTAATCTCAAAATAGGACTTGAACTGTCCTCTGATTGCTCAAAGCAGATTCTGTGAAGTTTATGTGAATGAGACTTGAATACCTTCATAATAATCCACAAACATGTGTTTAGTAAACTTAAAATCCTTTAATATTGTTGTACAGTATCTTGGTCAAGTCCACTAAACGTAAACAATTCGCCGTGTATGAAACCAATTTCAGAGAATCACTATGTGCGTCCATCAGATAAATAGAGCAAGAATATTGTATTTTTTTTATAATATAGGTTAGGCCATGTTCTCAAAGGTTCTATTATTTTTTGTTTTAACCCCAGATTTCCCCTTTTCTTCAAAGCCCTGCCCACTTTCAAGGAATCCATTTTTGTTGCTAGGGTGGTCATATCTCAATAAAAAAGCATTAGCGCCAAAAATTAAGATCAGATTCTCTCAAATTACAATGACAAACATTAGGAAAAACTACGTTAGTAATAAAATTCCCGTTCAGGCATAAAACCCAATACAGTATTTTCTCCGAGTGCCAAACACATGTTAAAAGTTGCAATTCCTCCAACTTATTAATGATATTCCAGAGGTAAAAAAATTATTTTCTTATACAGAATTTTTACTTAAAATTGCGCCCTGTTGTAAACCATTACTCTGTAGCCCTCACTGGACCCCGAGGAAGACCGGTTTTGTCACGACTCGACTATCCAGCAAAACATATAATCCAATCAATTATTTATACAATAATTTTATTAGGTAACGTCATTATATTTGAAAAATACCACTTATTTCAACGCCATATTATTATAACGGTCATGGCAATTGCGTAATGCCGGATCTGTTAGTTTTGTTTTATCTCAAACGATAATGTTCGACTGCCAGACGTCAGGTGCCGAGTGTCTACCATATTTCCTAAATATCAAGTTGAACTATGATAAATAAATGACAATGATTCAATTAAATATCAAATACCTAGACGGATAATAAAAATGTATAAAGCAATATTTCAGTTTAGTTGAAATAAAGGGGCTTGACACCTGAGATAAGGTGAGACGCCGGTACAACAGGTGGTAGGGAGAGGAACACTTACTCTCAAAGTCTCCGGTGTCCGCCACCACCACCGTCACCTCCTTCAGCTGGTCCAGGGACGTGGCCATCTTGCTCTTCTTTGTAGGTGACTCTGACATCGTGAATGAACGTGACGACCTTTATATATTGATTTCACCGTGACGTCAGCCTAAATGCACCGCCCACAAGCCACAAACTGAGTAGTTTGATAGTTGACCGGCAGCGGCAGCACAGTGCAGGCCCGTCAGTCAGGCACAGTGTTCAAAATTTCGTATTGCTGTATAGTACTTGTTTTTTGTCGCAATTCCAGATTATGTCTTAGTTAATATCTACAATTAGGTTAATTAATTTATTGATTTATAAGAAACACTTCTATTCATATATGGCCAAAGAACAAATTAAAATTTTGTCACCACGGAAATTGCTATTTACATTCACCTTGTATGTCTAAGCAAGCAAACTCCTCATACTCACCTCAGCCTCCTGTATCCCACAGACTTGAAGTAAGTAGTTTTTTTTTCACTGTTTGCTAAGTTTAAAGTTAAAGACACAGATAGCTCATACAATAAATAAAAAAGTAAAAATGTTAAAGGAGTTCTTCCAACTCCTACCGCCTGCAGGGGGGTATGGTATGATTATTGTATTGCTTGCCTAGCAGAGTTTGTAAGATGAGATGACTCCAGCAGCTGAACGAGCTTGCACCTATCATTCTGATTTGCTGTATTGTATTGGCGATTAATGAAGGTAAGTAAAGTACAGTGAAGTTCACAAATCAAAATTACTCCGAACGGAAGTTGTGGTTTATGATCCTAAAAAAAAGTGAGGAAGTGTTGGCAGTGGTGTTATTATATCATTTGAATCTAGCCAATGGTAGTGCTCTTGAAATTGACGTCATTTCATAATATTAAAGAAAACCAATGGAAAACCTTTTTAATGAATGTGAGAACAGCCAATAGGAGAGTGGGAGAGACTGTTAGATGGCGGATTTCAGTGTGCTGCGAGACCGGACGTGGCCAACCTGGAGCGACTTGTTACAATACTTCTCATATTCTGAGTGTAATAAAACAAGGAAGGTTTAGGCTCGGTGGACAGACTACGGGGGGAGGGAGGCACTAGGGGTGTCAGCCATGGCGGGATGTGGATGGCTTATAATCACACAGGACGTCAGAGGATCCTGGAGGACGACACAAGCTGGCTGATCAACACAAACACCCTGCGCAGTAGATGAGGGAAATACCCATGTTTACCTCCTTTTCCACCTCCCTGTGCCTTCCCTACCTGCTTCTCTTGACTCCTCCCCCTCTTTCTTTCTCTCCGCCTCTTCATCCCTTCCCCACCTACTTTCCATTTGTCCCCTCCCCTTCCTCCTGTTTTCCTTTTGACTCCTCCTCCATTCTCCCTCCTTTGCGCATAAAAAAAGACAGCAACTCAAGCAATTACGCTCCCACGCACACACACACTGGTACTACCCTCAAGATTTACTTAGCATCATCCTCGGAATAAAAGAGACATTATTAAAAATCTTCCTCCCTCTCCTTAACCTTCACTATGGTAGATCATTGCTCTGAACACATTGACGGGGTGAACCAACACTGTGATTAATTTTATGTATCAACAAGGAGTGATAACACAACAAAAGACCCAAAATGACAAACACATTATACTGTATGTCACCTTTCAGAAATGACGCAGCTAACTGTGTCAGTTGCCAGTCGTCTGGGGGTTTCTTATCCTTAACCTTTAAGTCAACACTTTAGGAAAACTTTTGAACAGGAGATTAGCGTTTGTTTTTATCTAACAAAAACATTAAGAAGGTGGAAGCTTTGGTTTGGCTGTATGCTCAGTACAACTTGAGTAAAGGCTGTCGATGTCGGGCAAGTTATTTGTAATATTAAATTCTTATGGGATGAAAACGACTATTTACTGTAAAACCAAGTCTTTGATGAATCGTTATTATTTATTTTCGAGTTGTATTCAATATGCTTCTAAACTTATCTATAAACACGAGACATCAGGTTGGTTGATCCCAGTCTAATTATATTTAGACTTTGGGCTGATCCCTTCTACTTAGGCCAGTTACCAGGGCAACACACCCAAACACGACCTTCTCATAACACACCTGAACTGAGGAGTGTGTGGAAAGTCATTGTGCTTAAACCAAATTAGTGAAGGATCGGCAGAGTGAATCAGCACTTATATTATTCCTCGAACTTTCGGTCGGAGGGAAATAATGTCATTGTTAACCACTAGCTGGACTTTCCCACACAAAGAACTTAGGAACTTTGCTGAACTTATATGGCCACATTTGTTATATCACTCGATTAAGATTATTGGCAGCATAAATTTGAGCTGTATATTAAATATTTAAAACTACATGAAGTTCGAAATATCAAGATAATTCAGCCAGAGTCAAAGCAGGTGCAGTAGCTCACTAAGTTCATAATTTCACACTAACACAGCTACGAGTGTGTCAGGTGAGGTGGTGTGGTGGAGTGGCTGGCGTGGGTGACCTTGTATCTAGGAAGATGAATCACTCTTGAAAGTTTCCCGGGGAGTTTCTGTTTATGTTGTCTGGTGGTCAAATTAGTATATTTCTTCCTCATCTTTGGGTGTTAGTAAGGAATTGGATTTTTTTTTTTATCTGTACTTTCAAAACGAAAATAAAGTATAAAAACAAGATTTTTAAATGAAATATTTAATAAGATTTCAGTAAAATATGTGGGCATTACAAAAATCTCCTAAATAAATAGAAATGCAGTCAGTCTACATTTACTATTTATCAACAACACAGAGACAGCAGAGGTTCAAAACTTCAACGCTACATAAACACTGACCAACAGAGCTCTTTACTGAAGTCATATTATAAGGAACATGATATAAGTGTTAAGTGACGTGTAAGAGACGTCTATGTAAGTGAGATGGCATTATTACGTGATGAATGGATAGTGTGTAATGTGTGGAAGGAATATGGCATCTTAAGTTATGTGTGAGGGAGGACAGAGACATTGTAATAAATCCACCAACATGCACCACACAGTACGACAACCCAATAGGAATATTTACCTTAAAGTATAAGAAAGAATAAATATATCACACTTGCTTTTCAGTGCCTAAAAGTGTTAGTTGATGAACTGTCCTGCATATAAAAGATAACTAGATATTGCATGGATTAAAATATTCATAAAAAAGTATAAATTCAGACATCTTCTCTCACTATCATATTATAAAGGCAGACTGTCATTTGTTTATTCAGTCTGTATACATAGCACTCATGGATACACACTAGTCAATCACAGCAAGAATCTCTTCATTAAGACTGAATCTCATTCAATAGAGCAACGCCACAGTAAACTTCTTTAAGAGAAGTGGAGTACGTATATGTAAACACATCAAAATCCCCATCCTTGTATATATATATATATATATATATATATATATATATATATATATATATATATATATATATATATATATATATATATATATATATATATATATATATATATATATATATATATATATATATGAAGGAGCCTAAACTCTCTCTTCATTGATCTTAGTCTCTAGAATGTGTAAGTATCTTTGTGGCTGAGCTGCAGCAGGGATAGGGATATATGCATTTGGCAAGATTAATTATCCACCTTAATATAAAATAAAGTTACACACGCACTTTGTGTTAAAAAAGTAAATAACACAATTTAACAAATGAAAAAAAAATTCACAGTAGTTCACGTCACATGCTAAATATGATGAGACATTTATACAATAGACAAAAGTATGGCTACAGAATACACTCACATTATTGCTCTTGAAGTCCCACGAAACCAATCATAGTGGAATAAATTCTTTAAACAAAAAACAACAATGATTTCACACTTAAAATGCACAAGACACAAAGTCAATAGTTTATTTTCATAACGCCTCGGCTTTCACTGCTTCTGGTTGTTCATTTGCGGTGGCCTCAGCAGCAGGTGTCGCTGTTGGGGTCGCTGAAGTGGTGAGGGCAGCAGCAGGCGACTGTTGAGGCGCAAGATTAGCTTGGTGTTCTGCTGGCTGCTGTTGACCTTCAGTTGGTGCTGTGGGAGGTGGAGGAGACGCCTCCGTTGGTGCTGAAGTTGGTGGAGAGCTTGTGGTAGTAGTGGTGGTGGTAGTACTTGTAGTAGGGGCTGTTGTTGTAGAAGTTGTGGTGGTAGTGGTAGGTGGAGTAGTTGAGGGTGTTGTGGTGGTGGTGGTCGGAGGTGGAGTAGTTGTGGTAGTGGTGGTAGTTGTGGTGGGTGGAGGAGTGGACATGGTAACTTCTTGAGGGACCTCCCACTCACCACAGTAACCATTCAGGATGGGTTGTGCTGGGATTCCTCGTCTGAAATATGATACATGAAACATTTAAGAACTTAAAATTTAAGAAAAGTTAACAATTAAACTGATAATAACAATATCTTTGTACACACATTCTTATTTTTCTAAGGAAAATATTAGTTTTTAAATATTTTGTGGTGAATTTCAATTTTGCACGTATTTTTTTTTCTCTACAACTCCAGACAAACAAATAATATCTACTCTTATCTCACTCACAGGATGAAAATTAGAATAGATTACAGGTACACTTGTTGATAATGGATGATACCAGTTACTTTAAAATAAAATACCCATCACTGAGGCCACATACCGGCATACCAGAGGTCATACTTTTAAACAGTTTAAGACACATCCTCACATCAAACTGAGACAAAACACCTCACCATAGATGTATGGAGCAGCTTACCTGAACAGATGGTTATGTCTCAAAATGTGTTGCATTTTCAGAAAAGACGTCAAGTCTGGGAGGGCAATATGTTATGATGAAATACAGAGCCTAGAGTATGTGTTGTGGAGTCACCAGCCTCCCCCCCCCTACCAAGTAAACAAGGCACATCCCTAGGAGAACACTACCATCAACACCCCTCACCTGAGCATCCTACAGCGGTGTTGATCGAGTCTGTAGGCGGCATTGTCAACGGAGGGCGCCTCGCTGAGTGGCAAGGACCAGAGGCGTTCGGCTGCTGCTGAGGCGCGGGGCCACAAGCGTGGCATGATGTTGGTGGCATCCACATATTCTCCCCACATGGCTGCTTCCCCACCCAGCACCAGTTTCTTTTGTTCATCAGTGCCTGAAGGTGAGACAGTGGGTAGTACACATTTTCCTACTTAATATCTTCAGGTGTTCTAAACTCCTTAGATATCCTCTTCCCTACTCACTAATATCTTTGATTATTCATAATTTGTCACTACAGTGTATCTCCTTTCTATAAGAATGTTCTACAACACAACCTCTGAGTCTTCATCACTGAAAACACTTCAGGTATCATCTTCTAACCTTGAAAGTCAGTTGGGTCACAGTTGTAGAAGTTCTTCCAGTCTTGACCATAAGTGATAAAGTTGATGTACCAGCAGGAGGAGAGGATCACCTGGTGGCCCGCCTCCGTCAGGTCGTGCACATAATCCCGCCACCCCCGCATCTTGGACGGTGAGAGAGACACGTCCTTCCACACCTGAACGACACTTGTGTTGGCCATCTGTAGAAGTGGACAAAGAAATGAGGTATATGTGACATGTTTCTACGATATGAATAATATAAATGACATACAGGAGATAATCTTGTCATAAATTAGTCAGTAGAAAATATGTAGTCACTCAAAAAACTATCTTTACAAAATTGTGTTGAGCAAATAAGTAAGGTTAGGCTGTGTTAAGTCAGCTTACTGTAAGAGTTGTTAATCTTATGTGGAAATAAACTGGGGTGCCTAATATTCACATAATTCAAATGCAGTGCCTGAGACTAAGTGTGCTGGCCAACTGTAGGACAATGATAAACGGACTGAAAGATATGATTCACTACTACAAACCGACACACAATCATCGAGTGTGAGGCAACATTCTCTCAGCCACCTGGGAAGTGAGAAGTGTAGGAAAAACATCTGCAGGAAACTTAATTTAATCCACATGTAAAGGATATTAATGGCAGACTTTGATCATCTCTTAGTTAAATTATTACAAGAATGTTATTAACGATTCTGTAGCATAAAAAAGATACATTATGTAGAATGTAAACAGTAAGCCTCACTATTAAACAATCACATATATCTGGTTATCCGTTACTCTTAATAAGGATTCTCGAGAGGTCAGTATACTGTCTGATTTTATTCATATACAGTATAACCTGTGAATACGAATTTGTAATATTTTTTAATGATTCACTTAAACATCTACGTCAGTGTGGTACTTGGGTCACAGGGTCTCTTACCTATATACAGTAATGCAATCAGTTGTGTTGTGGTCATTAGATACTGTACACGTGTCTTGGTTACCTCAGGATAACTCACCTGTATGCCACGGTCTGCTGGGTCCTGCCAGGTGATGTAGTTGATGGGGGTGCGGTCAGCCAGCTCAAGAACCTTCTCCACATAGTGCCGCTCCACCTGTCGCACCTCCGTGTAGTTGTGTCTGGCCATGAAGGCTCGTACTACTGGTGAGCTCGACCAGCAAGGCAAGAATACCTGGAAGTACCACCAGACACTTATGACCTCGAAAAACACATTGGTGAAGAGGCACAAGCAGACACTGAGCTAATGTGACTTAAGGAAAACATTCTTGAGACAACTCTAAGTTACTTTGTGAGGTGGTCTACTCTTGGCTGGCTCTTTCAGACTGTTTATTTGATGGAAATAACATTACTTCTAGAGTCAGATCACAATCTCTTTGACACATTACATAACTTATTGAATTTTACTCTCCCTAGACAAATACATTTTCTACTGCATATAGACGTTCACCATTTTTTATTTTGGTAAAAAGTTTTGGGTCGTCCTGTGGAATAAACTCATTAACAAGTTGTAAGAGGGCACCTTACCTCGTCCAGGCCCAGGTGGATGTATCCGTCAACAAAGGTGTGTTTCAGGTCCACCAGGAAGGCCTTAAGGAAGTCATACACCTGCAGATACACATGATGAAATTCTATGTAGAGAACCTTTATGATAAATACTGTATAAGAACAAGTGAACGTTAAGGTGTAAAGAGACAAATACATTATGTGGTGATACTATTAAAAAGTTGGTGCCATAAACAAGACCTAAAAATAAATGTATTATAGAATATATAAAATAACTATAATATCAATGCAGTATTATACAACTTTACATAGTGAAAATAGAATACAAAGACGACTAAGATTAAATTGAAAGTATCTGTTGTAATAATAGCACTCTCATCACTACAGTGGGATCATACACCTTCATTCAACCATCAGACATATATTGGTAGAGTCAGTCCACATGTTAACCAGGAGGACCATTTGATAACCTTACTTCCATCTGGCTGAGGATGAAGATGGAGGGAATCTATGGTTTTATCTATTCACTAGTATTATTCTTTGTATTATACCTTGAGTGAGTCACCTGACACGCCTCGTACAGTACTCACCTGAGGGTTGGTGGGGTCGAGATTCTCATAGGCAGCGTGGAAGGGGAAGCTGGGAGTGCCTGGTGTCTTATCGTCCCCATAACATGGTGTCAGCAGGTCTGGTGACAAATGGTTCCTCTCAATCTTAATTTATCTCTCAACCTTTCAATGTGGTGATGTTGAATACAAAGATTGAGAATGGATTGTTGAAAATATTAACTATTTCTAAAGTGGTAATTTTCTTTCACGCGTGATGAGTCATTCACAAAAAACTGCTACCTCTTGAAAGTCAGTAATGCAAACATTGTTCTTTACTGTGAAATAAAAAAGATGTACAAAGACCACGGTGTTATGTAAAACAATGAGATAAGAAGGAGCATGTAAGTTACTAACGTGGGAAGGCCTTGCCGAAGCCCTGTGTGTGTCCTGGGGTGTCAAACTCTGGGATGACCCTGATGCCTCGGTATCTGGCATACTCTACAATATCCATCACGTCCCGCTGGGTGTATACATGTCGTGGTGTGTAGGCGCCCTGGGGGGAGGGAGGAGGGGATATTAAGTGAAATCAATATGAAAGATTTTAAATTATCCAGGTAAAGTATTAGGTCAGAAATATCATAAACAACTAGTAGTGTATTTAGATGTACTGGATCACCTGAAGATTAGTCCTCTAGTTTATTTCACCTTAAGATTAAGCCCCCCACTGGTAACCTAATCCCTCAGATAGCATTATAGTGTTTAATCAGTAGGTGAAATAAACTGATGGGCTAATCTTCAGGTAATATATGTTTTCAAATTTCCTAAAAGTTTGACAAAAAAATATGTAGAGCAAGTAGCATTTTTCAACAAGTGAATATACAGTACATCACTCTTTTAAATATGAATTTTTTATCATTTACACCCATCACACAAAGTCTTACAATACTGTACCGTAAACAACAATAAGCAGTTACGATTAGCGAGATTCACCACATTATGCTCTTCTGTTGTCTGGCAGCAGCATCAACGTGGAGGGACTTAGAAGTAAAACTCACATGTGCCTTACTGCTTGCCTGGGGGGGGGGGGAGTCACATGCAAACCATCTTAGATTTCTCTCCCTTTCTCTCACCTAAGTGGAGTGTGAGATGTAGGAAGAGTAGGTATTAAGAAATAAGGCTGAGGAAGAACCCCCCACCCTCAAATAAAAATAAAATAAAATTGAGAAATATGGAGAGTCGTGGGGTGTCAAACTCTGATACCTCGGTGAGATTAGGGAAGATCCTAGACTCGTAAGGGAAGCTCTGGTCGTCGACGATGTGCCAGTGGAGGACGTTGAACTTGTTCCATGCCATCGAGTCCAGTACCTGCACCGATACAGATAACACAAACATTCATAGTAACATGAATAAAACAACCAAATAATCTTAATGTCTATAACAAAGCCTCGTCTAACACACGATAATTACATAAATTATTGATATGCCCTGTACTTCACCATGTAGCTTAATGTTACATCAATGTATATGGGACACACTGTACTTAAGAGAGACACACCAGTGAACACAGTAGATATATTGTGCCTTTATTGGGAACAACATTTACAAACTCAAACTTTAGCTTTGATCATAATTTAGTGAACTACCTACAGCCTACTGATATACAGTAGTTCAAGATATCTACTAATGAACTAATGTCCTTGATGGTAGTTGCAGAGGCTGGGTCTTACCTCAAGGAGGGTGCCCTTAGGCAAGAAGTGCCTGGCGGTATCGAGGAGCAGTCCACGATGGGGGAACCTTGGCGCATCCTCCACCAACGTCACGTTCAGGCGGTACTGTGGACAGAGAAATATGTATCATGACGTAACAATAGTAGAAAGACCACAAGGAAACTGTAAACACACCAGAGATATGAACTTCTAGGGCACTTTAGGGACATGCCACCTCAACCTCTGTATGTTATGGAGTAAAAGTGTGTCACTGTAAGAGCAGGCAGCCCTGTACAGTATAACATCTGGGGTGAGAGAGGCTACAGGAACAATGATTAAACAAAATAGAATGTGAGACCATGTGAATAATATTACGGATTTGGGAAAGAAGAAAATGTTGAAATAAAAAAAGAAGAACATCATTTAAAAGGTCCTCTCATGTATAAAAACAATGGTGACATATTTGGAAGAGTAATTAAAAGAATTTGTGAACAAGAAAACAGGAACAACTTACTGACTCCAGGATGTGCAAGGCATTTAAACACTCATGGGTTTTGAGTTTAATACCTTGACTTTGCATTGGTAACACGTGTACAGGACTGTTGTATTAAGTTTAGTGTTATGCATAATCTCACTCATTTTTCAGGTTTAACATTATGGAAGAAGTACGAGACGTTATGTAATTTAATCATACGTTGAAGTTGTGTGTAATCTACGTTATCAATTCATTAGGTCAATAATGTAGATGATCTATAGGAAGTTGTACTATTAAACTTCACTTATACACTGTGATGTGTGCATACTCACATGATTCTCTGGTTCAACAATGTGGACGAGCTGTGAGAAGGTCTCCAGACCTCTGAGAGCCCCCCAGACTGTGTGGGACACCAGACGAGCGGACCCATGAGACACTGGCTCCGACCCTTCTGTTTCTACTACCTCAGTCAGCGTCACTTCTAGGGTGTCTGTGGTATAAGGGAGGAAGGTATACAATGTATATATCCACTAGAAATATTTCATATCTACTCGTCCAGTATTGTCGTTCACGGAGGGTCTCTGTTCTGTTCACTCTTGGGGGGTTGACAGAGACAGAGGTATATCATGCTTGCCACCACTCTGTCCCGGGTTCAATCCTGGGACAGATGTGAGGGTGTTGTCCAGTGCCACTCTATCAAACATGGCAAGTATTTCTTTCCTAATAGAGTTCTCCAGTATAGATACACAGTACACATTATTTAACTCTTCCAGACATCCCCCCTCCTTCCACACTGCACAACCTCACACCCCTCCTCCACACTGCACAACCTCACACCCCATCCTCCACACTGCACAACCTCACACCCCCTCCTCCACACTGCACAACCTCACACCCCCTCCTCCACACTGCACAACCCCACATCCCCCTGACTAAAATAACCTCTATTCTCCTTCACTTCCTCTTATTTTACTTCATCTACAAGGTCTAACGGAGTACAGTATTCCCATTCAAGAAAAATTAACCCCGAATGTAAGATAATTTTTGGTGATATATATTTTGTAAGTAACCAAACCTAACCAGACAGCAACAACTCATAATGTCAACAACTGTACAGGTAATCATACTGTAGCTATGAAACCATCTGCATATTACTGAATGTTGAAATATAAGAGAAAATGTTGTATTATGTCATATTTAAAATTTCTTGTTGTATATTTACTCTTAATAACCATATTATTATTACATTCACTCTATGTCAAAACAAAAACTAAAGCTTTACTAACATGATTCGTAGTCTGGGTGGAGCTTGAGGTGAGGTGTGTGGTCACAGCCAGAGGTTACTGACACGTTTAGGAAGGGCAGGAGAGTCAGCCCAGGGTCAGCCGTTGCCTCAGGATCAATCAGCACCAGGTTCTGATACCTGTAAGGGGGGAGACCTGATGATAACTTTGAATATTTTAAACAACACAGGTGGGGTGTGAACGTGCTGCCCTGTGGAGTAGTATTTTAATGCACATTTATTCACATAGCGTAGAAGTTTGAGCAACTAATGTCTTGTATTTATTCAACTGGATATAATATTTGATGTTATATTTGTTGTTTGTTAAAGGTACAGGTTAAAGTGAATAAAGGGATGTCTTAGTGAATGAAGTAAGGCTCGAATCCAAGACCTTGATACCGAGAGACTGGTCTTCTATCAACTCAACCAAGAGAACAATGGAGTTGAATAAATACAGTAAGAGTCATCAAGGCTATCATACACGAAAAAAATAATGTATACACACACACAAAACACCTTAACAATGGTTGTAGAGTACCTGTGTAAAGCGGCATCTATGACATCACATCCGGTGAGATCAGAGGAGATGATAAAGGTGGCGGGGTCGATGGCGAGCTGGTCTGGGGAGTCTGTCCACTTGCGGGGCAGCGGCCATGGTGACCCTGGCGGTGACTCTTCCCCCTGTCACACAAGTGTACACATTAAATCAGGGTTAAGTCATAGTGAGACTGCATACTATACTTAGACAAAGCCCCATTACACAGTGTTCCTACACTAGACATACCTTTACCTGGGTGAAACAGACAACAATTTAAATTAAAGAAAATGAAGTTTAGCCCCAAAGATGAACTCACCTGATGGTCCAACATCCTAATACTAATCTAACCTAACCATTACATAACCAACCCTAATCTAGCACAAACTAACCTAAACGTAACGTAACCTAACGTAACGTAACCTAACCTAACCTTATCTAACGTAACACAACCTCATGTAACCTAACTTAACCTAACCTAGCCAAACCTAAATTAGCTTGTCTAGCCAAAAACCTGATGCGATTTTTTGTGTGGTTTTGTTTGGTAGGTTTTAGTCCGGCGCGCCAGTTTGGCTGTGGTATGCGTCACTCATCCCTCACAGGAACTCCTCCCGACACTCATGAGTGGCCAGGGGATCACACTAGCCCTCACTCAGTGTGTTCCACCTCACCCCTTATTTACTTCCTCTCCTTCCTAACCCTTCCCTTTTCTCTCCCTCTCCTCCCTTATCCTATTCTTTCATTTCTCGTCTCCTCTATCTTCTTTCCTTTCTGTCTCGTCTCCTTTCTTCTCTCTCTCTCACCACTCACTCCCTCCTCTCTCTTCTTCCTGACCTTTCACCTCTGTCCTCCTCTGTTCCTTACTCACTCACTCACCTTTATTTCACATTCTTTTATTCTTCCTCTGTCTCTTTCTATCCTTCCCTCTCTCTCCTCCCTCAATCTTCTTGGCCACTCTCTTCCTTTCCTTTCTGCCCCTCCCTCTATTCTCTCCTCCACCACCTTCCCTTCCCTCCATCAACACCTTCCCTTCCCTCCATCACCACCCTCCCTTCCCTCCATCACCACCCTCCCTTCCCTCCATCACCACCCTCCCTCCCCACCATCACCACCCTCCTCCATCACACCCTCCATCATCACCACCCCTTCCCTCCATCATCACCACCCTCCCTTCCTCCATCATCCACCCTCCCTTCCCTCCATCACCACCTCCCTTCCTCTATCACCACCCTCCCTTCCTCTCCATCACCACCCCTCCCTTCCCTCCATCACCACCCTCCCTTCCCTCCATCACCACCCTCCCTTCCCTCCATCACCACCTCCCTGGAGTGACAGGTCCATCCCAGACGCCTAGCTCATAATTTCCCTAGCTGTCCCAACTACTCCACCCTCATCCCATTACCCTCATCTCTTCCTACCACACATCTACACACCTGCTACATTCCTACCACACCACCTCATCCTTCCCACCACACATGCTACCACACCTGCTACATTCCACCACACTACCCCATCCTTCCCACACATCTACCACACCTGCCACATTCCTACCACACTACCCCATCCTTCCCACCACATCTACCACACCTGCTACATTCCTACCACACCACCCATCCTTCCCATCCTTCCCACCACATCTACCACACCTGCCACATTCCTACCACACACTCCCCATCCTTCCCACCACACATTACCACACCTGCTACATTCCTACCACACTACCCCATCCTTCACCACACATCTACCACACCTGCTACATTCCTACCACACTACCTCATCCTTCCCACCACACCTGCTACATTCCTACCACACTACCTCATCCTTCCCACCACACCTGCTACATTCCTACCACACTACCTCATCCTTCCTACCACACCTGCTACATTCCTACCACACTACCTCATCCTTCCTACCACACCTGCTACATTCCTACCACACTACCTCATCCTTCCTACCACACCTGCTACATTCCTACCACACTACCTCATCCTTCCTACCTCATTACCTCAACCTCTCCACACTACGGTCCTGTTCGTGGTGACTTTCAACATTGTTCATCTTGGTAAACACTTCAACATTCCACATACATCCCACATTTCCTTAAACATACGCAGCAATATAAAACAGACACACGGATACACACACACCAACGTCGTAATTGGTGTGTGTGTATCCGTGTGTAACTGAACGTATGGATATTCCTTGACTTAACATACGCACACGCCGCCTCACTCCACCTAACCCGTCTCAGCCCGGAAGTAGGCAGAGGTCTCGGTTCCCTTATGACTACAGACTCGGTAAAACACGGATATTTCTCCTCCAAAAAACTAACCTCCCCTTTAGGTGTCTTGATCTTCCCAAAACTTCTGATGTGTCTCTGATGCCCGACACCAGCCTTATGTTTCAAATAAACCTCTGAAATTTATGCTTAACCTAACCAAATCTAACCTAACTCCCCTTGTAACACTCACCGGCAGTGGAAGGTTCTCCTCGACGTAGACAAGCTTGGCTAAGGTGGCCGCCCAGAATGTCGCGAGGGTCAGCAGGAGCAACCCCCTGCCGCCCACAACCCCAAGGCCGCCCATGCCTGAGCCGGGGATCACAAGGTGAGCGAGTGTGATGACGTAGTTCCTTGGCGTCAGGGGGGAGGTCTAAGAAGGATCGTCGCTGGGTGGTTGTGGGTACCGCTAGCTGGAACGATGAGTACCACGGGGCGAGTCACTTACAATCAGGGTGATAAATTCATCAAACGTGTTCTTTTACAAGCTTCTCATTAAGATCTAGTGCGTTTCAGTGAAGTTCTATTAGTTTTAGTGAAGTTCTAGTCGTCCCAGTGAAGTTCTATTAGTTTCAGTGAAGTTCTATTAGTTTCAGTGAAGTTCTAGTCGTTATAGTGAAGTTCTAGTCGTTTCAGATAAGTTCTATTAGTTTTAGTGAAGTTCTATTAGTTTCAGTGAAGTTCTATTAGTTTCAGTGAAGTTCTATTAGTTTCAGTGAAGTTCTATTAGTTTCAGTGAAGTTCTAGTAGTTTCAGTGAAGTTCTAGTAGTTTCAGTTGACATCGAAAGTGCTTGTAGAGAATGACAGCAGAGAGCAGGCCAGCCACAGTCCAACACGTCTTCGTACCTAAAACAAAAAACATTCACATAAGATTCTCGTAATAACTATCACATCATTGTTTATAAATGTTCACCTTTTTTTAATTCTTCTTCTCAAAAGTGTCGAAATATATCGACAAATGTGTACGTGTTGCTGTGAAGGTGATCAGGATGGCTCAGCCCCGGGTGTTGTTTTAATATTGCCAATATCACTACATTTAAGATCTAAAACACAGATCAAACTCGACGTTAAAAAACAAACATAAGTGTGTGATAAGATGCTGTCATTATTATAGTATTAATTTTATGGATATTTTTAAAATCTTTTTACACATGTAACCGATCTTAACCTAAACACATTTAATAACGTGGCATCAGATTGGAATTATTGTACTTGTATCTGTATCAATACTTATATTTCTGATGAGGCACATGTACCCTAATCTGTGGAGTGTGGAAGGCTTTCTGTTAGTGTGTGTGGTGGTGCTGACACCGACACATAATTGTTACGACCACAGAGACAAGTAACTGGTTGGGTGTGCCTCGTTCAATCCTCGCTCCACCTCCCACACTGTCCCCACTGCTGGCTTGCTTAAGCTAAATGTACACAGATAGTCACAAGTAAAAACAAAAACAAGTACAGTATAAGAGCAGCCAGATAGTTATGATCACCTGTATTCTAATCTGTATATAACAAACTTGCATTAGACCAATAAGTACTTAACATATAAGGTCATATTAAATTTTGTACATATCTCAAGTAAGAGGCTGACGTCTTCGCACATGTAAATTACCGCGGCGTCTTGCACGTGCCCGAGATCGGGTGTGGTGTTTACATAGAACTGTATCAAGTAACTCAAGGCTAATGTGACTCACTGTCTCAAACAAGTCCTGTAAATACATCACCTGAAATTCTAAACTTTCCATCACTATATTTAGAAGTTGTTAGGATGAACGAAGAGGTGAGAGATGCACACAGTAACCTTCCTGATAAACACTTGCAAGCAGCTAGAGACTGACCAACATTTCGACAATGTTTTGTTGACAAAACGAGAGAATTTGGCGTTCGTGTAACAAATAAAAGAAATGAATATCATAATTATACAGTATTGTACGTATGTATGTATAATGTGTATATAAACACATAACATGTATATTTCTCTCTGTTTGTACAAAGAGAAAGTGTTAAGCACACATATTATTTTATCTATGAGCTCCTGAGATCATATTTTTTTTGTAAATATGAATTCGACTTTTGTAATTTTTTTCTAAATTAAAGCCCTATAAAACTTCTTTTACTTAATTGATACAAACCGAAAGAATAATTGAATGAAATTCTGCTTATAAAAGCAGAATTACACCAAGTTTTAAAATGGACAATCAAATCATTATTCATTAAAAAGTTGATTTGACGGCACACGGCATCGTCACTTGAGCCGAGCACAGGGTGAAGGACGCACGTACGACGGAAGCTGACACGAATAAAAAGTCTGTGGTAACTACTGGTGGTGAATTATTAAGTTGTTTTGGACACCACGTAGGACAAGTATTGAAGAGCTTGTCTTTTTTTATGAAGCTACAAGTGGTATTCAATGATGGTGAAGAAATAGAAGTTACCAACATCAACCGGAGATAATTCCCGACATTCGCCAACACAGTTTATGAGGATCATTTCACTGGAGGTAAGTGACCAAATATTTAGTACTGTATCTGATATACTGTAAATGCTAAATGATTATATTTTGAAAAGTATGAATTATTGTGCATCAAAGTTTCTTCATGTACTTGTTATTGATGCCAGACCATCATACGACGTCTTATTTAGGTAAAACACTTCAGCTGACACAATTACTTAAGACGTGTTGGTAATAGTCCACCATCCTTGTACACCTCAACTGGTTATTTTAGACATTTGTACTGAGAAAAAAAGTTGCTTCTAACTAAAAAAAAAAAAAAGTTAATGGTCTGCACAGGAAGTGTAATTTACATATTTTATGTTTATCGCGGTTTTCTTCAGATCTGAAGGTCAAGTGCTACCGTGTTTGACTTGAAGCACAGTTGCCAGAGATGACTTTACTGAATGTTTTAATTGTATAGTCCCCGTTGTTTTTATAAATTTAATTACTTACAATATTCTCTATTACATTTTACACATACAGTACTGTTATCTGAGTATATATATATATATATATATATATATATATATATATATATATATATATATATATATATATATATATATATATATATATATATATATATATATATATAAGAAATAAAGAGCCAACTGGTGTTATAATTCAATAAGCGGTTGTTAGCGTGTACTTATCCAACCTAACCTAACGAATTTAGATCATTATTTACCTAAGTTAAGAATGTTAGGTTAATTTTTTGGGTTCGTTTTGCCTGTTTTAAACGAAGTCGACTTAAAATTAATCAGGAAGAAAACCACGGAAAAACAAAACATGCAAATGAATTCCTAGGGTGATGTGAGTCATTCTCAAGGAAAGGAGCAACTTGTTTAAAAAAAAGTAAGAATTGTGAAGTATTATCGGAATGAGAGATAATATACATAACAATATCAGAATTTACAGCATTAAGAGAGATTGTGGAATAACTCAACAGTAAGCGTTGGGAAATTCAAATGGTGAAGTGAAGTAACCTAACCTAACCAAGCCTAACCTAACCTTATCTGACCTCAATAGTGGGAAACTGTACAGTCGTGGCGTGGCATCATGTAGTTTATATCTTGGCTCAGTTGTTCTTGCTACAACAACATTTACCCTTGGTTTACGATATTAAAAAACTGACAGGTCCCTGACACCCCGAGACCTTTAAAAGTTGGGCGTAAGTGGCGATAGTTGCCATTTTGGGCGATTAAAAAAAACGACTCTAGATATGCTGTTAACTTTAGGTATATACCACTTGTTTTGTTTACAAGATCTTGTTGATTATGTATCTTATTAAATTATTATTTTTTTTGGTAAAGTTAATTTTTTACCATGGCCTGAATGCCTTGGAGATCGATCGAGACTTGAAAACATTGTATTCTTCATATGGTGAGGCCATGCTGTTGAGACTAGTTCCTTTTGAGTTAATTTAACCAAAGAACTGATAATTGCAACATAAGCTATAAAGTTTTCGTAGTTTCATGAATTGATATTGAATTCATAAAATCCCAGTGTTTTGTCTGGCTATACCGTATTATATATTATGGAACTTCGTAATGTCTATTTGTCTGAGTTAAATTCTACTACATCTATTAATAGTAAGTGGTATATGTGTGGGTGGCCAATATTTATTTACAGCATATACTGCATGTGTGTGTGTGTGCGCATGATTTTGGTGGTAGAACGGCAAATAACACCGATGTTATGGCTCAAATAAGTATTTCACTGCAAACCTCAATTTGTCGAAACATTGACCTACAGGCCAGATGATTGTAAGTTTTCATCCAGCCTGTAAGGCGTGAAGAAATATACTGTACAGTGTTTACAGAATGGTGCGCGCTTCAATCCTCGCTTTGTTTCACTCATGTTATTATGAAGAACTCGTAAATACAAGGACCATAATGTGATGACCTGACAAATTTATAAGATTTTTTTTAGTACCGATTATTGTAATATAAATGGCATGACAAAAAGAACATTAACTCGACAAGCTCAATATCACACGAAAGTGAACACAATGCTAGAACGATTTGGATAGATTCTAAAAAGGTCTGTATTTAAATACATATAAATCTACGGGAACCACCATCCAAATTTCAAGTGTTGATTAGAAAAGTATAATCTTTGTGTTATCCATTGGGGTCTAAGAACGGAGTAACCAAAATACATGAGCCTTAGATAATGATCCCATAAGTATATGAAAACTGTGTAATACTGTCTTATGAAGGATCACCTGGAGATTCATCCCCTATTATGCTATCTGTGGGGTTAGGTTAGAGTTATGGTGGTTAGTCAGTTTATGCCAACAGTGATAAGACAAATTAGCAGCCTTAGCAAAGTAGCTTCTTTAACGCAATGCCGTATGTTGTGCTTCCATGATGGATGTGCAGTTGGTAGTCACATAAGAAACAAAACGAACTTTTTAGCATTGAAGTTTCGTGACCATGTGGTCAGCTCTTTACCCGTACGTTAACACTGAACATTGTAAACACGAGATCAAAATATCTTGGGAAATCATTTTAAAATGCACGAACACCTGCATGTATAGAACTGGATCGACTCATCCCTCACGTGAAAGGTCGGTGGGTTCAGATAATAGTTTTTTCACACTATTTTCTGACTAGGAAGTAAATTATGTACACAGAACCTGGAACCAAATACTCTCATCACTTTGTTAAGGGTGATAAAATAACCCATAAATCTTAATGAATCCAGACCCTGAACGTTTGTCAGCAGCTAAAGTGGCAATTTGGAAGGGCAAAGAGTGTTACAACTATACGGTGTAGCTACTTCTTCCTCGCTGCTCGCCACACTGACATTTAACCTTTATATCAACCCGGAAACTTGTCATTTTCTCACACCGGAAGTCATTATATAGCTATACTGGATTAGTTCGCCAAATGCTGTCATGAAATATCAAGTTTTTATTAAAGTATGTCCTTTTTTTATGCACGCCATACTTAATAGTGCAGAAAGAGAGGTTTACATTTCTTGTAACACTATTATTACTACTATTAATCACGAGTCATATTATTTTATTAGTGTTATCAACTTTTTAGTCTTCTGTATAATAATAATTACACTTGATATCTGATGATGTAATTTTTTTTTAAAGGAATTCGGTATGTAAATGTAATCAGACTCAGATGTTTACAGTACTGTATTGTGTAGGCTTATATTTGAGTATATTTTTTTTGTTAGGTAAACTACTCATGTATGAAATATGACGAGGCGAGTCTCATAAAGAAGCTTGGCAGTATGAGCTACACGCGTCTGGGTATAGCGGTAGTTTCTTTTTATTCCCTTATATAAGTAATACGTAATATGCATTGCATACAAGGTGTGAAGCTGCCTGACA